CCTCAGGTAAGCCGCGACAGAGTTGCGACCTATCACAATCACGATCGCCAAACAGCTGATGGTAGTAACGCTTTGTACATTCCTATCAATGTGCTCGTCGAAGCTCTCTCCATGACCATCCATCAAGTTGACGAAAAAAGTAAAAAGCAACTGATGAATATCGTCTTCTGTTGTGATCCATCACCGATCTGGTCATTCCGGACAATCACGACACTCATCTGTGCTCGTTTTGAAGTAGTTGCTGCTTTGCTTGCTTATGTGAGTGAGCCCAACAGCTTCCGTTTCATGTTGCCTGCTTTGTTTGTAACTCACACGCTGACGAGACGAACTTGGAATGCGTAGGCATTGTTTCCATTTTCTTCTGTCGTTTCGCTTTTTCTCATGATCGTACTGCAGAAGTCTTCACTGTTTTCGTTGTGCTTTTCATCATCAGCAGCGAGTGTAACGTTTTGTTTGTGAGCAGCGACCATTACTGGTGATTGTTGTTTGCCACGGCTCTAACTCTCACTGTGTGACAAAACGATCTGTCAGCGATAGTTGGTTGATGCGAAGACGAGTGTCACGTGAGTGTCATGATATTTTGCATCACTGAGCCGCGAATATTCGGTCCAACTCCTACTAGACATAGAAATAAGTTAATTTTGTTACAAAAAAAGAACACTGAACTATCGGCTCCGTAAAGCTAACACGATTGAGCCTTCTAAATAAACGAACTAGATAAAAACTATATTAAATTTTAAATGATGATCACTTGGCGTAGCAATGCGTGGATTGTTTCTAACCCCTATGGTTTCTTTTGTGAACCACTTTTCTTCTGAATTAGGATATTAAACGCATTCTGATAATATACTGTCAACCTAAGCATGTGGCACTAATGTCCAATGAACATTTGTCTAGAACATTTTAAAACACAATATCGACGTTTCATCCCTCATTTCTCAAATAGTTCTAATAATCGGCAGTGTCCTCAGTACGCAGAATACTTCCGTGTTTCAAGCTCACTGATCTCAAACATGCCTGTAGGGAGGTACAGCCTCATAATAACGGTGGTATCTTAAAAACGTTACGTGTTAGGGTAAATTTGTATTCTAGACTTTAACTCAGAAGACCATATAGCAGCGCCAGCACTGAAGCAAAGTGCGCTACTTATACCCCGTACAGACCATGGCTTATATCATATAATATAGGCTGTCTTGCAATGAGTACTCATACATAGGATTTCCAGTGAAAACTAGATGTATGAGTGCTCATTGCAAGACAGCCTATATTACGCGATATAAGCCATACCCAAGTAACAATTTCCAGTTGAAGAAACGCTTTCGTTTTGATTTTGTTCAGCTGCATGTTGAATAATAATTGCACAATGTGTTCACTACAACTATTATAAAACCCTTGTTTACACTGGTTTGGAGAACCTATACAACTGCAACACACTGTTTATCCAAAATCAATTTCTTGTTGAAGAAACGCTTCCATTGTGATTTTATTCAACTGCATGCTGAATAATAACTGTACAATTTGTTTATTACAACTTCTGTAAAACTCTTGTTTACACTGGTTTGGAGAACCTGTTCAACTACAGCATTATATGTATACGCGGTATAGGAGTAGAAGCAACTTTTATACAACGTTTATAGATACATATTTAAACTCAAGCTTTATTATTTTGGTGAAAGCTCTTATACAACGTTTGTAGACACCTCCTAACAGCTGCTTCGAAATGTATTAGAGATTGAACCTGAGAGGCGTTTGTTACACTCTTTTATGACTCCTAAATAATCACTATACAGCAAGCGGTGAAAAGCGTTTATAGCACTTTTTAATGACTCCTTAATAACCGTTGTGGAAGTACTCACAATATTCAAAGATTAAAATTAGTTTAAATTGTCGTGGTACGCCAAAATAATTGCTTGTACAGTTTTTATTAATTTAATTTATTTGTGCACATTGAAAAAATATGTAATTATGCCATAATTCACATTCTGTGATCATGGAGGAAGTAGTAACAAGCATCTGTTTAATCTTTGATTGATATTCTTTCAATTAATCTCTCTAATCATTAATTGAGAGAATTTATCTAGAAATGTTATCGTTGATTATATGATATATGTCTTAAATTAATGTTTGCATTTATTAATAACACCTATATATAATTTACCTCTACTCCACCAAAGGTTTCTCGAAGCAAGATTCGAACTCATGATCCCGGATTGCCAGCCGCTTCTGTTTCCATCTGCTCTATTCTTGAATACATATTTTGATCATATGAGAGAAGTATATCAAGCTCATCTTGATTGACTTCTCTTGCAGTCGAATAATCATTGCCTTATGGTTATATAAACATGCCTATCACTTGTGCTATTTTTAGCAACAAAATTGTGGTTGGTCGAACGTAAACAATCATTTAAGAGTACAGCTTTTAAAACTTTTAACCAAATGGCAATACAACTACATTCTTGTTCAACTCTGGAAGCTATTATTCAACGTTTGATCAACTCAGGTGTTTTATAAGAGCTCCCAATGGTTTGTTTTGATGCGTTTATTCCACATCCTATATGGCTCCTGTCAAACAGTTTAACCGAACGTAAACAATCATTTAAGAGTGCTCCAACAGCTTTTAAAACTTTTAACCAAAAAAACTCCAAGCAAATTTTGAAGCTTTTAACCAAATGGCAATACAACTACATTCTTGTACAACTCTGGAAGCTATTATTCAACGTTTGATCAACTCAGGTGTTGTATAAGAGCTCCCAATGGTTTGTTTTGATGCGTTTATTCCACATCCTTTATGGCTCCTGTCAAACAGTTTAACCGAACGTAAACAATCATTTAAGAGTGCTCCAGGCAGTTTTTGAAGCTTTTAACCAAATGGCAATACAACTACATTCTTGTACAACTCTGGAAGCTATTATTCAACGTTTGATCAACTCAGGTGTTGTATAAGAGCTCCCAATGGTTTGTTTTGATGCGTTTATTTCACGTTCTATATAGCTCTTGTCAATCAGTTTAACAAAGGTGCTATAAAAGTTATCGTAGGTCTTATAAAGCATATAGTTAAACCGAACGTAAACAATCATTTAAGAGTGCTCCAAGCAGCTTTTGAAGCTTCTAACCAAAAAGGCAATACAACTACATTCTTGTACAACTCTGGAAGCTATTATTCAACGTTTGATCAACTCAGGTGTTGTATAAGAGCTCCCAATGGTTTGTTTTGATGCGTTTATTCCACATCCTTTATGGCTCCTGTCAAACAGTTTAACCGAACGTAAACAATCATTTAAGAGTGCTCCAGGCAGTTTTTGAAGCTTTTAACCAAATGGCAATACAACTACATTCTTGTACAACTCTGGAAGCTATTATTCAACGTTTGATCAACTCAGGTGTTGTATAAGAGCTCCCAATGGTTTGTTTTGATGCGTTTATTCCACATCCTATATGGCTCCTGTCAAACAGTTTAACCGAACGTAAAGAATCATTTAAGAGTGCTCCAATAGCTTTTAAAACTTTTAACCAAAAAAACTCCAAGCAAATTTTGAAGCTTTTAACCAAATGGCAATACAACTACATTCTTGTACAACTCTGGAAGCTATTATTCAACGTTTGATCAACTCAGGTGTTGTATAAGAGCTCTCAATTGTTTGTTGGGTAGTCTGTACGGTGTATTAGACTAGTGGTGCAAAACCTTGTAACACACACTTTTGATGAATGTGCACAAATATAATATCGATGTTTGGTTTTTTTTTTCCTTTGATTTGTTTTCCGTCGATCTTGTTTTCCGTGCTGAGCACCAATGCTATTGACGTCAGGGAGGCAGCTCCCACACCTGGATCCTACCTATCGACCCATTAACTCATGAACCGGGGACCAACGGCTTTACTTCTCTTCTGAAGGAAGGCGTGATCAGAGATGTTATACCTCAGAACATCCCGGCGGCGCCGACTGGGATTGAACCAAGGCCTGCTGGGGTGAGAGGCAATCACACTACACCACCGGCGCCGCTTATGTTTGGTTTTGGTTTAGATGATTGAATCGGATAATCCTAGAGTTACACCCCTGCTTAAACCAAATCAGTTTTCATGATTTTATTTTTGAAACTTTTATGATAATTTTTAAACCAAGTTTTGGTCACTTTTTAGTCACTTTTTTAGTTTTTTTTTTTTTTTGATTATTATAGTTAAAGGGTTGTTATGCGGGTTTTTTTTTAGTTGATTTTGGTCACTAATTCATTTTTTTTTCCTGAACACTGCCATCAGCCTTGTAACAACTACTCATGAACATATAGATTATATAGGATCATTAACTACGAATAATTATATATTAATCGATTACAGTATTTGTTTTCAATTTCTAAAAATGGTATATAGTAGATACTAGGTGCAGACGACTAAAACATGGCAGAAGGGAAATTGAGTATTTATTGAGGATCTTTTTTCTTCTAGCACAAAAATAAACACTACGATCGTCACAAACAACAAATAACTTCAGCTTACGATGATGATCATCATGAATCATTTGTTCCAACACAACACAAAACATAATCACGAGTTAACACACTGAGACACCTACCTAATTCACGGATTCCCAAAACACTATGCCACACCGGCAAAAACAGCAAGGAAAACAAGCGCGAGCCAAGCATTTTCACAAATAGAAATATTTCTCCCACCTTCTTTCGATGAGGGTTTTCACTATATGTACATATTCTCACCATTACTGAACGCTCTCTAGAACTCACAGTCACAACAGCTGACCGCTAAGATCACACCTCTCAATGATGGTATTCGCGGGAGAGAAAATGTCTCTATTTTGGCGCTAGACAGCTGCCGTCAGTGGCCAAAAAACATACGTACACAAACGAAAATGATCGTGTCACGATCACGGCATGGCGTGGCGGTGTGCGGGGCTAATGATCGTGTTGGACGCGGACTATACCTACCCACTGATCGCCTTTGCAAAGGAAAATTCGCCACACGCTGAGTCGAACAGAGCAGTGGTGGTTGGTGGCGATCATTCATAGTTTGAACTCACTGACGGAAGGTGGTTACACGTAAAGACCTTTGACTTGGAAAAAGGACATTTTTGTGAGAGTGAAAAATTAGACAGGAAATTATTGCTAATTTCCATATGTTTGCACTATACACGGTTGCAGCAAAGGGAAAAAAAGTGTGATTAAGAAGTAGTGATAACACAAGAAACTGAAGAGATTGGATCGTGAGGCTAATTTTCAGGTATGGCGAGTTTAAAAATAATATGTCAAGTATTACAACATCATGTCATCTTCGTCAGTAATGAAATAGAGACTGTATACATAGAGCTGGTGAGTTTGGTGTTCCTGGTGGAGAAAACAAGAAAATCTGTTAAGTAACAGTACGTTAACAACGACCATGTTTTCACCCTGAACTCCTAGGTTGCGTAAACTTAATTGCAGGAAAATCCATGGTTTCGACTGGATTACTATTCACCTTCTAAACTACTCATTGAATTGAGAAATCAGTTGCTGTGGGATAACTCAGAAGCTAATTACCGAAAATGTTGTCCAAATGATAGTGAAAATTTTCGCCATTCAAAGATGGCGGCCATTTGTAGAAAACGAGAAAAACGGCCACCGATGACGGTGGCAATGATTCTATCTATATCCGCCCGCCTTCCACATCGCATCGCTCACAAAAGCAGACGACAAGAAAATACTGATGTTTCGTGTTTTGCTCCTTGAATACCTACGTTTCATCGTGCAAACGATGAATACTTAACTCAGGCTCTTTTTTGCCTGTTATTTTCAAATAACAAATTCGATTTACTCGGGTAAAAAAAAGAAAACAGTTCTAATGGGGTTTGACTATTCGCGTCAGCAAATGCTCTCATCACGGAGATTTGCGATATTTGTGTTTTACCCAGAGGCGTCTGTAGGCGAGGGTGTGCTCAACACTGTTAAACATCTACGAATGTCATGAATTGTGCATGCAACAGAAAATTAATGCCACGTTTCCGCTGGCAACACTTGTCTTCCTAAGTCGCTATTGGAGATTTAGACGAACACTATCTGCTGCGGGATTAAACTGGCTTTCAAACAGCTGACCGTTCGGTAATAAGTTCAGTAAAAAATATTTTACCGAATGATTAGCACAATTAATTGTCAAAAATTACCGACTAGCTATGTCTGAAGCAGGGTGGAGTAAGATTTTTTTATAGTCGCTTTAACGCTCTTGGGTCATTCGTGACTTGTCCGGGTGAGAAGCATGCTATGTCTTAACTCATTTATTCAACTTTGTAGCCAATTGGTTACTCATGCTAACTTCGGTTCTGATCACCTTCCAGTAACTTTTGAAATATCCCAAGAAATAATTTCACAGCTCTACTTTCAATTACCATAGAGCTGATTGGGAGCAATATCGAACATTTATGGAATATAACTTCGATCCAAACATTCATTTGCAAACCAAAGATTAAATAAATTATGCTCTTGAATCTCTGACTAAAGGGAGTCCACGATGAAATTGCCACACTATGAAATTGTTCTAACTTTTTAACCGTTGGGTAGAATTTAATGAAAATTTGGGTGGATTTAGTTCATAGTGCATTATTTAAATCCTGCAAGTTTTAAAGTCCTGTGATCAAAACTCGCGGAAATGGAGTCGAAAGAACAGCTCGTGCGTGATAAAATCTTGCGCATTCATCACGAGAACAAGGATCTCTCGCATCGTTCCATCGCTAAAACGTTGGGAATCGCGAATTCCACGGTGTCGCGAGTGATTAAGCGGTTCGAGGAACGGTTGACCACCGATCGGAAGCCCAGAAGTGAAGGAAAAAGTATTCCGTACAACACCAAAAATCACAACCGCGTAGTTGGGGCCTTCAACCGAAATCCGAACGCCTCCGTTAGGGATGTGGCTAAGAAGCTGCACCTAAGCCGAAGTTTTGTCCAGAAGGCCAAAACTAAGGCTGGGCTTCGAACGTTCAAGGTACAAAAGGCCCCTAATCGCGACGAGAAGCAGAACAAGTCCGCCAAAACCCGTGCCAGGAAGTTGTACCTCAACATGCTGACGAAAGTTGAATGCTGCATCATGGACGACGAAACATATGTGAAGGCTGACTTCAAACAGATCCCCGGCAACCTGTTTTTCACGGCCAAGGATAAGTTCAGCGTTCCGGAGCATGTCCGCACTCAGAAGATGTCCAAATTTGCGAAGAAATTCCTGGTTTGGCAAGCCATCTGCACGTGCGGGAAGCGGAGTGCACCTTTCGTGACCCAGGACACGATGAACGGACAGGTGTACATAAAAGAGTGCCTCCAGAAGCGGCTGCTTCCTCTCCTGAAGGCCCACAACGTCCCAACAATCTTCTGGCCGGATTTGGCCTCATGCCACTACTCCAAGGACGTGCTGAAGTGGTACGCGGACAATAAGGTCAATTTCGTGCCGAAAATGTTCAACCCTCCCAACACTCCGGAGCTCCGCCCCATCGAGAAGTACTGGGCGATTATGAAGCAGCACCTTCTTAAACGACCTAAGGTAGTGAAGACAGTCGAGGAACTGAAGAAAGTATGGGTTTACATGCAAAAAACGGTTGATTCACAGGTTGTGCAGAATCTTATGGCCGGGGTTAAGGCCAAGGTGCGGGCATTTGCGTATGGACTGTAAATAAAATACGAGTAAAATGGTAAAATGAAGTTTAATAGTTATTTCTCAATCCCTGAAAATTTGATGGCAATCGGATGAAAACTCGAATTTTGCGAATCAATTTTGTGTGTGGCAATTTCATCGTGGACACCCTTTACTTCTATAGTTGAAGCAAGAGCTGCCTCAGTACCAAAATGCGAGGTTAAATTCGATTCAATTATAATAGACCGTCGTCTTCAGCTCTTGATCCGTCTTAAAAATGTCCGTAGGAGAAAACGCGATCCTGCCATGAAAGTTATCTGGCGGGATATGCAAAAACAAAGCGATTCTCTGCCCTGAGGAACAACACTTTTGAAAATAATGTTTCTTAATTAGACTCAAGTTCCAAACCCTTTTGGAAACTCACAAAAAATTTGGAAAATCCTCAAAAGCCTATTCCAGCGCTTAAAAGAGATGGTAAAATTTTGATCACAAATTTGGAAAAAGCTCAGAAACTTGCTAAGCAATTCGAGAGTTCCCATAATTTCAGTTTGGGTTTTGCTAGTCCTACTGAGAATATTTTCTCTCGGGAAAATATTTTTGATGATTCCTGGGGGACTGATTTGGACGAAGTAAGGTCTATAACTAAAAAGTCTCATAATATGAAAGCTCCAGGTGATGATGGAAATTTCTATATCGTCATCAAAAAACTTCCAGAGAGTACCTTGTCTTTCTTGGTAAATTATTTAACAGATGTTTCCATTTGGCATACTTTCCTGATAAATGGAAAAATACAAAAGTTGTTCCAATTTTGCTACCGTCCAATAAGTTTGCTTTCCTCAATAAGTAAACTTTTTGAAAAGATAATTTTAAATAGAATGATGTTTCACATCAATACGAACTCAATTTTTGCAGATGAGCAGTTTGGATTTTGCCATGGGCATTCAACTACTCATCAACTCTTAAGAGTTACCAATTTAATTCGTTCAAACAAATCTGAAGGCCACTCAACTGGAGTTGCTCTTCTAGACATAGAAAAAGCATTCGACAGTGTTTGACACGAAGGTTTGATTGCTAAATTGAAAAAGTTTAATTTTCCTCTTTATATTATGAAATTATTCAACTGACAGAAATCTGCAGGTAAATTATCAAAATTCCAAATCCAATCGACTACCTGTTAGTGCAGGAGTTCCTCAGGGTAGCATTCTTGGGCCTATATTGTATAACATTTTCACTTCGGACCTCCCTGATTTGCCTGAGGGTTGCCACAAATCTTTGTTCGCTGATGACACAGGCATTTCTGCTAAAGGAAGAAGTCTTCGTGTTATTTGCAGCAGACTGTAGAAAAGTTTGGATATTTTCTCTTCTTAGGGGCTGTACATAAACTACGTAGACAGTTTAGGGGGGGGGGGTTGATAATTATCCACGGCCCATACAAATTTTAAAATTTTTGTATGGACATTTGTCTACGCAGGGGGAGGGGGGGATTTAAGAATCGCAAAAAAACTGTCTACGTAGTTTATGAACAGACCCTTATTTACAAAAATGGAAGATTTCTCCCAAACTCAACTTATAAGCTTCCTTTTTGAAACCTAGTAGTAGTCACATAATCACTATGAACGGAGTTCGAATTTCCTGGTCAAACCAAGTGAAATATCTATTGACCAAAAATTAACTTTTAAAGATCACATTTAGGGCTCTTATAAACAGGAAATCCAAACTTTGCTTGACGAATAAACTTCTAATATTTAAACAAGTTTTTAGACCGGCCATGCTTTACGCTGTGCCAATATGGTCTAGTTGTTGCACTACCCGGAAAAAAAGCACTTCAAATTATTCATAACATACACAGCAAAAAAATAATTTTGATATCACGTCAAAGTGGATGCACTACAATCATGTCGAAAATATGGTGTAATATTACTTGCTAAAAAGGACAAAATTATCATTAATACAATGCATGAACTAACATTACGCTGCTTTTACTGCATTTGTTTATTTATGTGGTCATAAAAATTACATGAAATTTTCGACATGATTGTAGTGCATCCACTTTGATGTGATATCAAAATTATTTTTTTGCTGTGTAGTTCTGAAGATGATTTTGAAGTTGCCTCTCTGGTACAGTACTACCGAAGTACATAGAATTTCGAATGTTGAGACTTTAGAACAAATGTCCAACAAAATAATTAATCATTTCAGGCAAAAATCGTTGCAATCCTCAATTGCAACGATTAAATCCCTTTATACTTAGATAAGATTTAGTTTTAGTTTTTAGTTTTAAGATTTCAATTGTTATACTGACATGCAGGTTTTAAAAAAAATCGATAAAAAAAATAATCGATTAGTTGTTATTCGAATAATTAAAAACTGGGACATCACTTCGACAGTGAGCATGCATAAGGGCGAATACGCGATGATCGATTCTCTTCATCGATTTTCTCTTTGCATTGCTACAGCTAAGCGAAACAATTTTCTTGAATTTGTTCAATGCAGAGTAGTAACAGGTTGTATTGGCTATCAAAAGCAACAGCAAACGCACCGATAAACGTTAAATCTAGCAAGTTATTAACGAAAGAGAACATCGACGAAGAGAATCGATCATCGCGTATAGGCCCTTATGCATGCTCACTGTCGACTTATTCTGGTGTGATTGTTTTGATAAAAAAAAAAGTGCGCAAAATTTCATCTCTGCCGAGGGGGAAGCAAAACCACAAAATTACCTTGCATACGGGGGGTATTCATTGGATGAAAGGGGCCGTGAAAGAGGACACTAAAATAGAAAGTTTTTCTTCCGACTGTTTCATCTTAGCATTCTTCTTTGAATATACTGCGGGGCAAATCAACAAATTGTTTTGACGAAATAGTCTCAGATTTTAAACGCTTATAACTTGGCCATTTATGGATGGATTTCAAATCTTATCACACCATTCGATGAATCTTATATAACGACTATAGTAGTTTATCATTAGAAAACAATTCAAACTTTTTGGACGCAATTAACCAGTGCGACGCAATTAACCAGTGCAACGCAATGCAGGCTTGCTACGACTATTGATAGAACAAAAAGAGAGGTTATAAAAGAGCGTACCTGTACATTTTGTTTCAGTTCATCTGTGGATGTGGTGATTGTTTTACCGTAGACTCGTTATAATATCGACATTTCGATCAAATGCTGAGATGGACAAAATCTATTGAATGGAGGATTTCCTCACATGGCGGAGCTAAGTGCCGGAATTTGGTTTCTAGTTGAATGCTTCGTACAGCTTTTCACAGCACTCACCACCAGAGAGCGAGTAATTTTCAAATGAATTGGCTAATCGAAAACCGACTTGACAATGTATTGCGAAATTAACTTTTTTATTAAAATATCAATAGTTGTGCACTTTGATCCATCTATTATTACTACTTATCATCGAAGAACACAATGTAAAAATATTAATTTAAAAAAACTGATTTAGCCACTACAAGCAGTGCAACATCTGTTGGATTTGACGATCAAAAGTTGGTTGCTATAGAGATTGCTGACGTTTATCACACGCACACTACGTCAGGTATACGTATACGCAAAATGTTTTCATCGGGAAAAAACACTTCATAGCGGAAAATTTTCCCGATGAAAACAAATCACTGACACAATCATACTTTAGCAATCTATATAACAATAAACATATCTCGTAGTCCTACGTCAATAATGCGATCCTGCTTTGGACACAACCCTTAAATTTGGCCAACTTTTGGACAACTAGAACCAAAGCTAGAACTGTGTAAGTGAATTTATATAATTTCCCATGTAGTAATTCGCGAAAAGAATTTATTAATTAAACTTTAAAACATTTGTCTAAATCTACATCAATCTTTACAATTTTTTAGCAGTCTTATATTTTGGAGTTATGAATCAAACTGGTGGGTGCCCTAGGGTAAACGCTCCTATAGTTGCGGTACGTTAGAAGCGTTAGGTTCCTATAGTTGTGTATGGAGACGCAAGGGTTATTGACTATGTGCGCCACAGGTGGCGGTGCTACCAACTAAAAACATTTAAATTGACCGTTAAATGCGTGTTCGATGAACAAATTGCCAGTGTTATGTCTGTTTGTCTGTGGAGACTCCATACACAACTATAGGAACCTAACGCTTCTAACGTACCGCAACTATAGGAGCGTTTCCCCTATAGGAAATCTAACACAATTTGTGTAATTTGTGAAAATTGTCAAACTTGCCGTTTCAGTTCCGCTTCCGTTCTCGGAAAATATTTTACTGAGTCTCAGCAAGCAAACGTTATTTTTTGCTGAGATCTCAGTAAAATTTATTGCCGAGCTATTATACCGAGATTCGGTAATCCTAATTAAGTTTGTATATTTGACAAAAACTATGCTCTATTTGAGCGTAAACCAGTTTCCTTATAGAAACTATAAACTAACATTATTTGAACAAAATCTTTAGATTGAGTATTTTCACCCCATTCATACACGACACTGTAGGTCTTCTATATATTTATATTTTTTTCGTCTTTGGTTTTGTCGTACCCATCCATCCGGTTGAGATGTTCAGAGCTTCGTTTTTTTCGTCACAATCATTAACAGCAAAATACAATACTGTATGAACTTAAAAAATGCTATAAATATCCCCAAAAACTGCTCCACTAGAGGAGAGACCAAACCAACATAAATAGCTAACTGTTCGATAACAATGTACCAATGATTCATGCACTAAATGGTCGTCTTTCTGTTTTCCTTTCGAAAATAATAATGCTGCGCTTGCAGAAAACTTCGACCACCATGGAAAAATCATCGCGACCTGTGAGAAATCGCAAGCGGAGTAGGTTAGTGAAGATTAGCGCAACTAACAGGGGAAAATAAAACCTCCTGCCCTTGTTTTGCAACACACGCTGAGACTAATAAATGCCGCACGTATCTGTTTGCCCTGATTTAATTTTAGACACAATCATTAAATCCAACATGTTTCATGTAATTTTCGCATGTTCCTTTTTCTAACAAAACCGTCATCATCAGCGCTTTTTACTGTATTGGTATGTCACGAGTTGAAAAACACGACCGAAAACATTGCTGTTTTCTCACGGCGCATGCGTGATCTTCACGATTACACTCACTAAAACGAGACGCTGCCGTGAAATTTACTTTCAACCGCGCGCGCATTCTGAAACAGGTTGTTCTGTTATAAGATACCTTTGTACGTTTGTTTTCGTTTGCCGTTGAGTTTGTTGAACTAGTGAAACTTATTTACTTTGGTGCCCTTTATTGATCGGTTTCCTTTGTTGAATCGCCTGTTTCTAGGAAGGTATGGCCACCAGGTGACATCCACCGACCGATTAAGCGACTCTTCACACCGGAAATCAAACGCATGCTCAAGGATTGGCTCGTGCGACGCCGGGAAAATCCTTACCCAAATCGGGAGGAGAAGAAACTGCTGGCCTACGAGACGGGTCTCACCTATACCCAAATCTGCAATTGGTTCGCCAACTGGCGACGAAAGCTCAAGAATTCAGGCAATGATCCAATCAAGAAGACCTGGTGCAATCTCATCAAGAATTACAACACAAACGCCAAAGGCAACGTGGAACAGTTTAGCATTTGCTCGGAGGATAGCATTTGGGGTGAGAATGGCGAAGACTCGCAAGGCTCGAGATCGCCTCCGGACAGTTTTTCCAAGCGACAATACCCGTCCTACACTAGCAGCAATAACAATAACAACAACAGCAAAGGATTCGTAAACTACATGAAGTATATGGAGAGAAGGAACAGCGAAACATCGGACGACGACAGGCCCGGCAACTATTCGGGCAACATGTTTCGTGACCATAGCTATACTCCAAAGAACTACAATGCAGTTTTCGGACTGCCCGGACAGCCTCAATGCTTTCAGGTTTGTAAAAAAATCAACCGTTTTTGTCGGTTTTTGTTTTTCTCGTACGCGTACCTTAGAACGCCCCGAAGAAGTACCCAGAAACCAACCTGAACCAAATCTCTTTACAGAGCTCGTAAAAAAAGAGCCTTAGAGGTACAATAAAATGTAAGGTAACCATACAATAGGATCTGTTGAGTTTGCAAAAAATCGTATTGCCCACAACTATAAAATAACCATAGAGTGTAGTATAGCCTGAATTTGGCTTCCCTTTTCGAATGTACACCAATGTTGTCAGCTGAGCAGTTGATGGAACATGTCAGAAGAATATCATCTTCCAAATTAATTAATATCTAATTATCCTGACATTCAATTAAAATTTCTTATAAGTACAGATAACAAGTTTATCCGTAATTCATTATGATGAAAGGGTAGGACGTCGAGAACAAAAAGTTCACTTTTCCCATAGTAATTCCCACATAAACTTCAAAGGACCTGTGCAGTATGAGATCGCAACCAAATGAGCCAAATTTTGGGAGGATTACCAGGACCTGATTTTGAATCGATTGAGTGGTGTGGAGCATACTCGGTATTTTGACCCACCCAAGGTCGAAACTGCCCCACTTTCCTCTATGCAAAGTTTCTTTTATCGCTATTTGGCCTGTTTTTGCGCAGTAATGCTTTCTAGACCCTTTTTACTTTACTAATCCCAAAATATTCCATCCCATATAGGTAACGTCCACCACCGAGGAATGCCCTGCTGATTTCAACTGTAACACTAGTTCAATCATTGCGACCAATTTCCCGAACGCATACCGAGGGGAAAATGGTACTTTTTACCTGACACCCAGTACAACTGTATCCCCCTCAATCAACCACAAAAGTACGAACAAGTACAAAAGTAGCATCATGGAAAAGTATCTCCGTGATCTTAATGAGATCGATCCAGAATCGGAACCTGCCAACAACGGTTGTTCAACATCACCGAATCCCTTCCAGCAAATGGCGGCCCAATCGCAGTCGAACACAGCCCCCGTAGCTCAAATGAGTTGTGAAACTCGAGGCCCTCCTTCCCTCTCGAAGTGGCTGGAAAGTACAGCCAAATTCACTCCATCAAAGAATAACTACATCGATTGGGATCAACCAGGGTACGCTGGGCGACTCTTTCTGATTTAAGAACGGTAACATTCAATCATTTTTTTTTCGCCCCCAGAAGACCGTCCTCTTCGAAGAAACGTTGCCATTCTAATTCGTTCCACCAACATCAACCAACAGATGAGGAAGGCCACCATCGCGCAACTTCGCAGCCCCCGCAGGAAATCGATGACACCGGTGAGTTTGGAATACACCAGAAAGATGAGATTGATGCTGCGGAAGCGTTGACCCGGTTGGCAAACAATTTCCGAATGAAGTTTTACACCTGAGAACGATAGCAGAAGGGTAATACGTAAAGTTACAGCAAACGGCGATAGCATTCCTGAACAAGCTTAGAGACATTATGAGTAGTTATTAATGATAGTTAAATATTATATGGAATGAAGAACTATAGGAACAAGCATATTTTGAGTGTGAATGTAGTAGAAATTGTTGCAATGTTAAATTTTAATGATTCGAAAAGAAACTTAGGCTCAGAATATTTAGATTAAGAAGTGACAATAAACAGCCAATTATTAATAAAAACAAATATATTAAATTTGTCTAGTTAGAAAAGTTAGGGTGATCGTTCGATGATATCCTTTGTGCTCCAATCGTGGAGTGTAGTTTCGAACCCCTTTTGATACGGTTGTGTTTTAAGTTTGTTCTCTGTTTTGTGCGTGCGTTCGCGTTCATAATTTTTGGCTGCATTTGCCGGATTAGCGCTGGCACTCTGCCTCCCGGACGGTTATACGTGATTGGTGGTTTTCTCGCTTTCCGGGATGTTTTAGAATCAAGAAAGAAAACGTGATTCATCATGTTTGCAAGCATCAGATGCCGAGAGATGTCGCTACCTGCGTTGTTTGATTTTTTCTCTCGGACCAGAAATTAGTGTCATAGCGAGTGATAGTTTTTAATATCAGTTTATTTACGCGCTGCAAGGTGCGTGAAAGAGTTCGGCCGGATGTATTGATTTGGTGAGTACGTTCCAGTCCAAGTAGCATTGCAAGTTTTATCGAGGTTTAAAGCATTCGACAAGTCCAAATCATGCTCTACAGAACCCTCATAAAACCAACATTGTTACTTGGGAGTTGAAGATTGTTCTTATAAGTTTCTCGATTGCATTTTCGAGGGGACGTCCGGAGAGCTTTGAGATTTGGGCGTTGTTGCTTTTCCCGGCAGACGCGTTGTTCGCCGATTGCTCTCGGGTAGAAGCTCAGTCTCGCAAACAGACTATATCAAATGATAGAGGAGTCATGCCCCTACCTGTTTGTGCTGTTAGTTTTAGAAGATGGGCTTTGATTCGCGAGGGATCGTTGATTGACGTATTTGTTAGCAGAGGCGATTGCGCCCTAGTCTCGGGGTTCTCCGGACGAGTCTGCTTTTGTGGGGAGTGCGTTTGATGGTCGGTTTGGTGTGGCTGGTGTGGCAAGTCCTATTGAACTGTCAAACCGTGCAAAGTAAACAAACATTCCGATGCTATGAAAGGTCCACGAAAGGTATTGCAATAAAATATAAAATACAATCGAAGAAATGATCATAAACACGCAGTGAGCATTAAATAGTCATGGGATACGTTTTTTTTTTTGTTATTTAATTTATTTGAAAAGGCTCAACCGAATTAACTTTACAGAGCCGAGGATTCTTTTTCGCTATACAAAATATCTTAAAGCTATAGTCAAAAGGAACAACACTATCAACATTTATCTTCCGCTGTCCAAAAAGCCTCCTCTATCAGAACGGGAGCCGCTTCTAGTGGTTTCATTGTATGACAGTATCGCCAACAGGGAGCCGAGCGCTTTCATTGCAGCAATGGATGCAAAACGGGGTCAGCACTCACAAACTCATCACGAAACGATTGCTTTCCAAAGTCGACGACGCATCGACCGAAAGAACTGCTGATGAAGAACAATGAGGAGGACCACACAATGGTTGCTGCCGAGTAAACAAACGATCGCGTAACACACATCGAGAGTGAACACTGATGGGATATGTTTGTTAGTGATCAATTATGATAATTACTACAATTTTTTGTTCAGATAATTTGACAAAATCACTGATAATGATTTACTACAGCCGCTAATTTTTTCTCTCGCTATAAAGGCCCACGCACATTAGATCCGGATCGGACGCGTTGCGGCAAAGTGACAGCTAAATCTATTGTCTAACTGTCAAATTTACGTCAACGCAACGCAAACGGATCTAATGTGCGTGGCCCTTAAGTCATTTTAAGTTGATGCAGAGTGAAAAGAAAGTGAATCTTTCGAAAACCGTGATGCGATACACCGTCTCTAGTGTTGGCGAGTTTGAGTTCAAGATGTGTGAAGCCACCCCACTGAACATCAGTTGTGGCTGGATTTGGTGAGTTTTTCCAGTTGGTTGCTTATAAATTTGTTGTCACTGATCTTGATTTTCACGCGACGTGTGTAGTTCGGTTGTTGCAATTAGATGCGTATGTTGAGTTTGGAATTTCGGAAAGAGTGTATTCGTGCCCAAGCCTCGTTACATTACTGACTTGATACATCCAGGCCTATATTGAAAAAAATCGTGGAGGTGCCGGGCAAAGGTGTTGTATTCTAGACAAATGGTGGATTACAAATTCGCTCGTATTCGCCGTCGTATTCACCGTCATAGTCACGGTCGTAATCGCCGTCGTAGTCGCCGTAGGCAGTACCGTTAGTATATTTAAAATTAACCATCAGCCGCTGAATTATCGCGTATCTCTGTTGTTCATCACATACCAAGTTAAAACTTAATCATATTTTGTCGTGGAGTGTTGTGGTTGTCAGATGCTCGATAACCCTGGAGGAATCGGTTTTGCTTAGTGAGCAGAATATCATGGGTTTAATCCCAAGCTCTCCCACTACAGAATAAACGAGCATAAAGCGCAGTTAATAACCAAAAGTTGAATAGTTTAAACCATGAATTTCAGAAAGGGTGTGTGATCCAGTTTGGAAGACATTGTTGGCTGCTTTCAGAGACGTCGCTTCATTTGAATAACTTTTTGTTGAGTCGGTCGTAGCTTGTTGTGATGTAAGGGTCACGGTGGCCTTAAAGCGACCGTTTTTGCTTACTGAGCAGATGATCGTGGGTCAAAACCCAAGCCTCTTACATTACTGAGTTGATAGGGTCGCGTCATTTGCTTAACAGGTTTTAAAAGATCGCATCACTTTCCAATGTGAATCCAGATCTAATTTACCCTTACCACTAACAAAAATGTCCTTCCCGTGACAACCGTGGAGATGCAGAGGTATACTCGGTCTCTAGTAGCAACGGTTGTTGAAATAACAATCCTTTCACCCCCGATGACCGTAAGGACGTAGCCGGCGCCATTATTGACCTCAAAACTATGGGTTCTCCGGATTGTGTACACTGAGAATGGATTGCTAGTCCCAAGCTCCATTCATATGGTTCTTTGTGCAAATTTCGATAAATCTGGTCAATCACGGAGTAGTAACTACTGAAATGTATGGTCATCAATGCTCATGCTCATGCTCATGCTCACAATACTTTGTGCTCCAATCGCTTCTACATTATATCCAACTTTGAGTATTTGCAGGTCTTTGGCTGTTTGGTCACATAGCAAGCAACATTGACGTCTTCCACGACATAAAATTTCGCCTCCGTCTTGTTGTTTGCCGCCTCAATCTCTGAACACTACCTTCCGGCCATCTTCAACAGTTTATCAGAAGCGCATACGCGATGAGCAATCTGTCAGTTTTAGTTGGTGCATTCCTCACATTTACTCCCGCCTTCTTTATTTGTTCCCAAACGCCGGTTGTGATTATGTTGACATAAGCACCTGAGTCGATCGTCATGGGAATGTCAACTCCACCCACCTTGAAATTGAAGACGTTGCAACCCATAGCGTAGAATATAGAATCTTGTTATTGTTCTTTCTCAGCTTCTTCATAGATCACTCGAATCCGTTTGGCCTTTGGTGCAGAATATGAGTCATCTTGACGGCGTTTAAAACCACGTCCAGTACTGTGACATCGTTTAGCCCAATGTCCAGTTTTCCCACATGCAGCACACTTGGTCTGCTTTGCAGGGCAAATGACCTCGACGCCCACAACTATAGCAGGAAAGGTTGTTTAATTGAATCCGACTTGGATATGCTGTTGGATTGTTTGAACTTCGGTCACAAACCGAACTAAAATATGTTCTGGAAACCAAGTTAACCAAATGATCCTGCCTTGTCTGCATGTACGGGTTTCCAAGTTACTTGGACTAGTTGAACGGTTCCGCTAGACTCGTACCCAATGCGATGACTTCATCAAGAGTCTTTCTCAAGAAGTTTCTTTCGGAAATCTTGTGATTTGCATCCTTAGGCAAAGCAATCCCCAATCAATTCATCCACAACGCAAGCACATGCATCTGGAAATCTGCTTTCGCTTGCTGAATCTCGCCCAAAATATGGCGTGTGCGCTCAGTACTAACAATCGGTGGAAATTAACGATTTTAAATTAGCTCACTACTTGACATTGGTCCCAAGCAAATCGATTAACGTACCCCATTCTAGTTGAAATTCTAGTACTACGCTATGTTTGTTTTGATTTGCTATGAAAGTTTGACAGATAGTTTGACAGATAAAAAGGTTAATGACGACCACTTTACGGGAGTCCTACAACCGATTTAAAGAATTAAATTGTTAAGTACAAGTTGGGTTTTCAACCTTTGCGAATCTCAGGCCTAAGAACTGTATATACATTGTTAACTTGTTCAAGGACATTTAATGTGTTTGTACGTAATATTCATGAAAATTTTAATTTGATTATTCACAACTTAAAGAAATTTGATTTGTCCATTGATTTAAAGTCGATTACAGATTGTTTGATATGTAAAAGAAAAGCAATAGATTGCTGCCTGCAACCATAGAGGTAACTCTAAGACTAGAAGGTCCCGAAATAACGTGCTCAACTTGTTGGCTCAGCTCTGGTACTCTCTTCGGTCCCAAGCTAATCCATTCACCCCTCAAAACATAGGAAAATCCACTAACCCCTCATTTTATATGTCAAACTTTAATGGCGAATCAAAACAAACACTGTGTAGTAGTAGCCCAACAAACAATTTTAGCTGCAGCTTAGCTTATACAGGCAAAAATTAGCTGCATAAGGCAAATTTTGGCTGTATAAGCTAATCTGCAGCCAAAATTGTTTGTTGGGAGACTTTCGACTAGAATGGGATACGTTAATCGTTTGCTTGGGACCAATAGGCTAGTCAAGTAGTGAGCCAATTTAAAATCGTTAGTTTCGTATTGATTGTTGCTACAACGCTGTGAAAACTGCGTTGCTACATCTTTTTTCGAACAAAAGTTATTGGAAGAAATCGTGGAAAAAGGCATTAATGAAATACAATTTGAACAATGTGTCACAACCGACAGATGTGATATAGAAACATTAGTTAAAGAGCCGGATGAATTTGTTTCCTATTTAATTGGAAAATTAGAGGAATTAATACCTCATGATTTTATAAAACAACAGCAGTCTATGTTTTTGCAGAATACAAAACAAAATTTACAAGAAGGTTAATTTGTAATAATATGCGAGATAATATGTGATTTTTCAGAAAACTACATATTTGTATTACAAGACGAAGTACAAAGTCATCACTGAAATCATCAGCAAGCAACTATTCATCCATTTATCATTTATATTAAACATGAATAAAAAAGTAATCATTTGAGTTATGTAGTAATTTCAGAAGATTTGGGCCATGATTCTGTATCTGTACACTTATTTATCTCAAAAATGATTGCTTTTCTACGTACAAAACAGCAGTTAACTGTGAATAAGATTTATTTCATGTCTGACGGAGCTGCATCCCAGTACAAAAATCGGAAAAAATTCTAGCCTTTGCCAATTGAAGAATAAATATGGAATAGAAGTTGAATGGCATTTCTTCACAATATCGCATGGAAAAGGTCCATGCTGTAGGAGGAACACTGAAACGTATGGCTACCAGAGCTAGTCTAGCTAAAGAACGTGAACATGCGATAAAAAAAATGCAAGGGAACTATACGATTGGGCTCAGAAGCGAAACGAGGATCAGCTAACTCAAATTTTCTTTTTTTTATGCAACTACTGACGAATATGAAAGTCATAAGCACGAGCTCAACGAACAATACTCAAGGGCTATAACTATTCAAGGAACTCAAAAATACCTTTCATTTATTCCTATTTCTGAAAGACAATTAGAAGTCAGACACTTTTCAAACTGTAAATTGTTGATATTACTAATAATTAAAGTATGGATTTCTATTACAACTAGGTATATCAATCTAACAATGTAAAAATAAATGAAATCATTCTCGAAAAATCGCAATTATATGTTGTTTGTATATGCTAACGAGCGAAATATGTATTTGCAAGAAAATAAATTATTTTAAAACATACACATTCCGGATAATTTAGATCATATCGATGAGCCACCAAGAGCATTTTCATTGTAAAATTTTCTGATCTTTCGGAAAAAAATATTTTCGGAACTGGATAACCCCGAAATACATTAAAAAATGGCCAAAAACTACAATTTTTTTTTTTTAATATCTACTTTCAAACCGCTACATCTCGAAAACGGTGTGACTTAGAATTTTTTTAAGCAGGTGCTTTTTTATTGTAAATTTGATGTACTTTCATTATATAAAGTCAAAACAGTAATTGACCAAGTTTTGGATATTTTTTCAAAAACTTGAGTTTTTAATCAAAACTTTTTTGTCCATCATTTCACCATATTGACCTATAGTGCAATAGATGGCATTTTTCATCCCCTAAAAAAATACAAAGAACCCTTTTTTGAGAAAAATTGTTTTTCATTTTCATTTTCATTTTATGATGTACAAGGGGGTCAGGGGCCATGTCACCGATGAGAATATTCACACCATCCAGCAACACAGCATCTTTACCCATGGGGGTTAAAAAAGTTCTGCGACACTTATGGTGAACCAGCTGCTCAGGGATTGTAGAAAGGAAGAGGGTTGGGTAGGTTTAAAATGCAGAATTAGATGCCGTCACGATTGAATGCGCATGTTTAAAAAATGTTGATCCAGGTACCTTCGTATAAATTTGCATATCATTTAGTTATGGTTATTATCAATAATACTTACATTTCGATAAAGATGATGCTACCTATTTTACCTTATATGTGATACTTATAATCACAGAATCCAACTTTGAATCGTAGACCAGGTCCATTAACAATACACTCGTTCCGAGAAGGGGGTCTGGTACCACTCATACTATATAGTCATCTTCATCTTCTTCTTCAGGTTCGCTCACCACTCGGAATGAACGTTCAGTGTGGTTAGTAATATCAAATAGTGTTACATGCAAACGAAAAAGAGCTACAGCAAGGATTAATTTTTTAAAGTAATAGTTTCATCTGAATACCCAACTAACCATATCTCAGTGACATTTTCTCACTCTGAACCTACATTTAAAGTTATTATGTGATTATATGGTTACATTGGTACTCACACGAAATGTTGTGCAAGTACCACAAGTTCAACAACGCCCAACTATGGACAGCTCAATGTTAATATCATTTACTCTCATAACGGTGCCGGTGGTGTAGTGGTAAGCGTGATTACCTCTCACCCCAGCAGGCCTGGGTTCAATCCCAGTCGGCGCCGCCGGGATGTTCTAAGGCATAACATCTCTGATCACGCCTTCGGATGGGAAGTAAAGCCGTTGGTCCCCGATTCATGAGTTGATGGGTCGATAGGTAGGGTCCAGGTGTGGGAGCTGCCTTCCTGGCACGTCGGTAGCATTGGTGCTCGGCACGGAAAACAAGATCGACGGAAAAAAACAAACCAAAGGAAAAAAGAAAAAAAAATCATTTACTCTTTGAATCAGCGTACACCAACATGATAATCTACTAAGAAACACCTAAGAATTGATTTGTTTTCCGTCGATCTTGTTTTCCGTGCTAAGCACCAATGCCACCGACGCCAGGGAGGCAGCTCCCACACCTGAACCCTACCTACCGACCCATCAACTCATGAACCGGGGACCAACGGCTTTACTTCCCATCCGAAGGAAGGCGTGATCAGAGATGTTATGCCTCAGAACATCCCGGCGGCGCCGACTGGGATTGAACCCAGGCCTGCTGGGGTGAGAGGTAATCACGCTTACCACTGCATTTTTTTTTTTTTCAAATAGTCTTATCTATTACCTGCAATATTGCCGAAGACATTAAACCGATCGGACAAATAGTTTTCGAGTTAAAATTCTCTGAAGATAAGCTTGATATTTTTCTATATGCCCTTTTCAAAAATAGTTGGTCATAAGGAACGTTTCCGCTAATTTTCAACCAAATAAAAAAAACACAAAAATAAACCGATTTGTGAATTCGAACCTAGAAGTGTGCTAGAAGGTTCTGTTCTGTGATACCTATTATGTGTATATATTTTGCAAGCTCTGACTTTTTGCTTTTCGAGAACCGTTTTAAAATCAAAAATCGGTTGAAAAATTATTGAGTTTCTCATGATAGTATGCGGTCACTTACCCAAAATCGGTCTTTTAACAATAACTTAAAATTTTTGGGGTGTTGAAACAATTTCAAAGGTAATTTCATAATGTACTCGACTAGACTAACATACTACAATAAGTCACTTGAAATGTTTTTTATGTCGTGTAACACCGTGGAATTGCACTGAAATATATTTTTAATCAATACGTACCGTGTGGTGCCTGTTCACCGCTCACCTAAGCGATTTTACGATTCTTAAGCGCTCACGAATCATATAGCTGATTGTGACACTCTGAAAGCGAAATTGACAGGTCTTATGAGCCAAACACATACTTTACACCTGTTCTTGTTACTTACAAGTAGGATATCATTTTATTATCTAATGATTTAATAATTCCGAAAAATATTTTTTTATAGCAAGTGAGTGGAAGCAACCCTGGTGAAGAGAATCGAGTTGATTCTGAACGTTAAAAATAAATCAATAAAAATCAATAAAGAGATACCAAGTATGGACGCTAGTTTTCTTTCAGACTAAGCTCTGTCTACCTACCGCAAAACCGTTTTCTACAGTTAAACAACTTTATTAAACTATTTGGAACTGCCAAACTCATCGCTCTAACCGTCAGTTCCCTCTGTTGTTTTGGTGCTTGGACTATCATTCTTTTCATGTTCGTGTCGCACATACGATTCTAGTACGTTAACCAGCTGATTCTGATGGCACTCCAGGTCGCTAACAATCTTCGCTCCGGCACTATACAGCACGCCAGTCAGCTGAGCCCGTGCCGTCGTCAGATCCGGTAAGGAAGCATAACCGATGAATTCATTCTTACTTAGAAACTGACCCTGAATAATACCCGCCAGTAGCACGAATTGCGGTGCCTTCTTAAGCACATTCAACAACTGTCGAATTTTCGCTTCATCGGGACAGAAAATCATCGCCGTTTTCACATCGAACAGTGATTGAATCGGTTCATATTGCGTTCCATCGACGGCCTGCTGGATAATCGATTTTCCGTATATTTTAACGTTCATTTGAAGGCGGTGCAAAGCAACTTGGACTTTGAAGAAATCCTCCTGCTTGATGGAATTCAGGTGAATGAATGCAACCATTTTACTGTGATCCAACCAGTTCCGGACTTCACGGGCAATAATCTTTTCGTAAGGGTTTTCAATCTTCTGGGCAATTTGTGTACGTCCCGCATCGACACACGGTGCATTGAAATCCGGTTGTTTGTAAACCGGCTTTACTAAATCGAGCACACGGGCTCGTTCGTAATGCGGCTTCCGAGGTCGCTGAATGTTGATCTTTCCGCGAAAACGTTTGAAACTGACCAGCGGCAGGCGGGACTGAAGTAAGGCTGTATGAGAGTAATTAAATGAAGCATAAAATGTTGGCAAACTATTCACTTTGCTTACCTTTCTGCATAAAATTCGACATTTTCACTAACTCTCTGTAAACCTCTTGCGTAAAACAGCGGTCCGTTGATCGAATCAAAACAAAAACACTGAACCACCGCACGCGTGTTGGAGAAAAGTCAAATGGTAGTTCCGTTACCGACCGTTACTGGCGGTAGTTTAAGGAAAAAGGTTTTTAAAGTCATCGTTATTGGGAGATTGTCGTAAAAGCTCAACGCAGATGTCACCACTGCATGATGATGATAATGTTGACAGATTGCATATAAAATTCGTGAAAATTAGCATTTAATCATAATTTTCATCAAGCCTGCGTAAAATCCTTCCAATATAACATTCGAATTGGAGAAGAAAACGTTTTTACGATCAGATTGATGTGCATCTTTGACTTGTCCAGATGAACTTTCATAAGATATATTCATTTGATTTCACGGCTCCATCAATGCTGCATCGTAAATGGATCATTTTAGATGGCTGAGTTTTGAACCCACCACAGCTTTCATTTGGCGCTACTGTATACGGACGAACCAATGTAAAATACTGTGGTAGCCACAGTACGGTGCTGTCAAAACCTCAGCATCTTCAATGATCCATTATTAGTTTTTGTTTATGGACCGATTTGGCCCAAAAATCGTCTATTTTACTTGGAAAGTTTAGAAACTATCCACCTAGTAGTAGTTCTCACTTCGAAATGTAGGTGGCGAAAGCTTGGAAAAGTTTCACTGCAAGACGCCAATTGATGATTCTACGTTACGGTCGGCCAGCAGATTGAAATGATGTGAAAATGATAATGACGTTTTGCTAGCTGTCAAATCATATGGAATATTTTTTAGTACATCATCACTTTTGTGGTTTTGGATTTCAAACCTAGGTGTCACGTGCACTGGTGCAGTTTCGCGTAGATTCATCTATACCAATACAAGACCAACAATTGAAATGCCCTTAACTCCATTTTGTAAGCAAACCTTGTGAGGCCATTTTCTCGCGAGCCGAAGTCCACAAAGGCAAACCAACATAATGAACAGGTAGGGGAAATTCTCCTCTACCCGAATGTGGTTTAGGTTTGCGAATGAATGTTTCGGTTCTCGAGAAAATGGCCTTACAAGGTTTGTTTACAAAATGGAGTTAAGGCCATTTCAATTGTTGGTCTTGAATAAATACTTTTCAAGATTTCAAAACTTACAACGCAAGACGCAAGACAAACGTACAGTGAAACTTTTCCAAGCTTTCGCCACCTACATTTCGAAGTGAGAACTACTAGAAGGAGGATAGTTTCTATACTTTCCAAGAAAAACAGACGATTTTTTGGCCAAATCGGTCCATAAACAAAAACTAATAATTTCCCGTTAAACTTTTGCTTGAATCGTGTAAGAAAACGTGTTTGCAAACTAACTGTTATTATTTCGGTATGGATCGGAGATATTTTCATGGAAAATTATGCATAACAAGTTTGCACCCACAGGGAGAGGTTACCTCTTGCGCAGCTGCATTTTTCGGAAAAATTTTAATATGTGAGATTTCCACTAAGATGAAAATGGGAATTAAGTGAATTTACTTAGGAAAGATTGTATCATGCTGGTGATAATAAAATAAATAAATAAATAAATAAAATAAATCCCAAACAGTGCTGCTTGTTCGCAACATTTTCTCTTGGTGGGACTCTTATTATAACATCGACTCTGATTTTTAGGTGTATACATAGATTTCAGCTTTTCTACCACTGTAGCAGCAACCAGATTTAAATAAAATGCTCCATGTAAAAATAGATTGCACTCGTATTGGCAAATCAAAGTTGGCACTCGTGGAGAATAGACGAACTATGAAAGTGATTATGGTTTCAAAATAATCCACGATTATGGTTTCAAAATTTCCACTTAATTTTTATCGCCAAGATTCCAACAGCCGAATGATTCTGCAATTTATTTAGCTGCGATTCAGTAAAACAATTGCCGAGACTCAGCTAACAAATAAAATTTTGCTAAGATATAAACTAACAAACATATATTTTGCAGAGATATCAACAAAAGAAAATGCCGAGGTAATCGGCTGTTGGAGATTTTACCGAGCTAGATTAAGTGTACTAAAAAATATTCCATACGATTTGACAGGTAGCAAAACGTCATTATCATTTTCACTAAAGAGCCTGAATTTATAAAGAGACGACATGTCAAAATTGGAACAATCGATTGTCTGTCAAAGTCATAGGAAAAGTCATTCCAATCGAGCAGAAGACCTGTCAAATGGATAAGATGTTGCCTCTTTATAAATTCAGGCTCTTTAATTTTCACATCATTTCCATCTGCTGGTCGGCCGTAACGTAGATTCATCAATTAAATTTTTCAACTGTAAATCAAGTTTTGGAGCATCTCAGCTCCAAAACTTGATTTACAGTTGAAAAATTTAATTCTGTGTCGTTTTTGCAAGGATCCTGCTAATGTACAGGAATATTTTTGTTGAGAAAAATTGAAAATTATAACAGTGCCTTAGTGGTTATGATCTTCCGGATTTCTTGTGTGTGAATAGTTCAGGCACAAACGAAGTGACAGACGGAGCGGCTCGAAAACTTTGGTGACTAACCTGCTATTTCAATTTTTCAGTGTACACATGGCAACACCACTACTACTGGATTGTACCACATGGCAACACTACTACCATAGAGGTAACTCTAAGACCACTGGGTCCCGAAGAAAATCATTATTATTTTTGGCTCACTCTGTAGTCCCAAGCTATTTCACTCACCCCTGCATGTTCTGCATGAATCCACACACCCCTGATATTATCTGTCAAACTTTCATAGCGCATCAAAACAAACATAGTGTAGTAATAGAATTTCAACTACAATAGGGTACGTTAATCGTTTGCTTGGGACCAATAGGCTACTAAAGTGGTGAGCCAATTTAAAATCGTTAGTTTCGTATTGATTGTTGCTACTACTGGATTGTACTAGCATTTTCACCAAATGTATTAGAATGTTTTGGTTCTATCTCTTTCACTCTACTCAAAACTGAAATGCATAAAAAAATGACAAAATGATACACTCTTTGCACACTGTCAAAGAATCATTGTACACAAAATCAACTTTGTTCAAATCAAAACAAAAAAATTAACCCATCTGGTGGATGATGGCACAAGCTTCCAAGAAAATTCTATTACAGTGAACCACATTATTTTAATGGATTTCTTCGCCAGTTAGTCGTCTGTCACTTCGTTTGTGATTCAGGTGCAAAACAATTCAAATCTGTGAAAAATCATAAAATATGGCAATTAAGCTGGGTTTAGATAGGGCAAGTCAATTGATCAAGTCAGTTGAATTCAACTGACTTGAACGCGAATTGAACGTGTAAACCATGCCATTCAACTGACTTGATCAACTCACTTGAATTGAAAAAAGTTGAACCAGGCTCAACTTTTCAAGCCAATTGAATTCAACTGAGTTGTTCATTTGACTTGCCCTATCTAAACCCAGCTTTACTGATAGAAATTGGCAAGATGTTGAATGGAAAATGCTTTAATTTGCGTTGTGAAAAATCCTCATTCTGATGTAAACAAACGATTTGGCTGACGTTTCCTCTCGAATTCGCTTGGCGCACTTTACATTGGTGGTGCACACGGTAAGAAAAAAGTACCCAAAATTGAGTTCCTTTCACTCATCACGTGGCTTCCGTGGGGCTAGGTAAAATTAAGTTAAAGAAGAAAACTCAATTTTGAGTAATCCTGGCGTTGACCAAGTTGACAAAAAAAATAATAAATCGGAGCAGACTGGAACCGAACCATGGACGTTGAGATTACGGGGCCCGTGTGTTGACCACTCGTCTATCAACGCTTGTGAAAATGAAATGGTTAAAGGCGCATAAGAGCAACCTCAATGAAAATAAACTTATATTTGAGTTCATTTATTATTACTCAATAGTTGAGTAAATTTTAACCAACGCCGCTTTTCTGATTCACTCAACGGCAGACTTCAAATGATAGAACCCAACGTTGAGTTTTTTTAACTTAATTTTGAGTATTTTTTTCTTACCGTGCATTAAAAAGGCATATTGTTTGCAATCAGGAAAAAAGTAGATTTTAAGACTACGTAAACGCAAGCTCTACCGCTTACATTTTTTCTGTGTTGTTGCAGCATCGTTGCATTATCCCGGGATGCAACGAGGACAAATTTCCACTTTTTCGGGTTCCGAACTCGGGGAGCAACAAATTTGCGCAGTGGAGAAAGGTTGCCACTGTTTACGGAACAGAGACAGAGCGGATATGCTCCCATCATTTGGTTGAAGCAGACTTTTTAGAATATAAGTCCCAAAGTTTGTGGTCGTGGAAGATTTGAGATTAATTTTATGCGGCCGCTCCCCGGGATGGGAACTTTACAGTACCCCTCAATTCTTGCTTTGCTGCTGATCTACTGGTGTAGCCCAGGCACACAATATGCACACTTTTGCTCTATAACCATAGAGGTAACTCTAACGATTCAAATGTGTAGCGATTTGATCTGTCAAAGCCATAGGATTTAAACCCCAAACGCAATGTGGACGTTCGCGGATTTTCACTTATATTAGACAGGTGGATAATTTTCAAATAAACCTGCTATTTCACCAGACTAATTTTGACAAACACTTTCTCTAAAATGGGAAGATCAACGAATGAGGGATTTTCGAACATTGTAATTTATTTTCGAAACGTTAAATTTTTAAGAGAAAATTCACCAAATGGAACACAGGCTCAGATCGGAATTTTCCGCTACCCCTGCCGTTCCACTTCCGCTGTCATTGCGCTTGGGCCTTTACTTATTTAGATAAAAATAAATAATGTGTACAAAATATATCAGACACAAACCAACTCATAAATTTTGCTAGCGTGTTCGTCGTTTGTCGGTGTTCGTGGCTTTGCTAAACGTTTTCCGCGAACATGAGGACAGATGTCCGTAGTGTGCTTTGAGCACAAATGTCGTGGTAATTTCTATGATCAATCATGTCGGTTTGTCGGCGATTGTACTTGCCACAAAATTATATTAATGAAAAAAATGTGCAGGCATAGAAAGCTATCAAATCACAACTGTGGAAATGCTCAAAGAACACTAACTCGACCTCGAGGACCGGCGTAATGTCCCGGTAGGAAGTAGGGACGTAATAAAGCCAAAGAAGAAGAAGTAAATTGAAGTGCTTCAAAGAACACTAAGTTGGAAGCATGCGAAGTTCCAGTAAGAGCGTCGAAGTCAGTTAGAAGAATAATTATAATTATCTCTTAATTTAAATCTATAGATATTAATCAATACCTTGATCAATCCAATACTTGAAATCAGTTCACAATCAAGCAACAATGTACTGAGCGCAATTGCTGATTAATTATTGTATAACTTCTTAACAAATCTCATAGTGTCGATACTTCAGTTCACATCCCAAAACAGCATACGGTATGGTGCGTATAGATGTAACCAAGCATTTCGAAAAAAAATCAATACTCTTCCCAATGTTTTATGGCTTCCCCTTGGTTGAAACATGTCGATCAAACACTGACCGGCAGCGCTGTTTACTGGAAAATCGGTCAGTCTATTCTGGACGGTCAACGTTTTACGAAGTTCGGGTTCTTCTAGTATTTCGCTCAGAAAATTCGAATCTCGGCCACGCGGTGCGGATAAATCCAATAGACATGATACTGAGCACGTGTTGTGTTCTCGTGGCTCTTGTGGTTAGCGTAAGATGATCGTTGCACCTTTCATTTTTCCGATGTCGAAGCGTTTTCAGTATATCAGAGATCTAAACTTGTGTTGCAGGCCCAGAGTGCTACATTTAAGGTGACGTCGCAGGTGTACATGGATATATCAATTAACGGCAAGAACGAAGGACGGGTAATCATCGGGATGTTCGGTGAGGAGGCTCCGAAAACGGTGGAAAATTTTCGACACATTTGCATGCATGGAATTGATGGAATTTCGTACAAAGGCAGTCGATTCCATCGAGTGATCAGCAAGTTCATGATTCAAGGTAAGCGTTTCGAAATTATTCACACATCACTGTACTGATTTGGTACATGGTTGATGGATAATCTCATTAATAAAAGTGATGAAATACTGCATGCACATTGCAGTTCTTGCATAATACATAATCGGATAACAACATTCTTACTCTGAGCATTACAAACTTAAGGAAGGCAACAATTATTTTTGAAATTCTAAAAAGTGATAAAAACAGTTTTGCACGCATTGAGGGACGATCCATAAATTACATATCCACATTTTTTAGCATAAACCAAGGGGCAAGACAACTTAGATGTATAAGGTGATCCATGAGACGTTTCGCAGTTGACCTGACAGCTAAGTCGGTTAACAAAATGAAAGCAAATCGATATTAAAGTTTGCAGTTCCTATCATAATGAAAACTCATTTTGATTACAATTGTCGCGACAGAAGTCTGATTTCATATTGTGCTTTGATTATGCAGTCAAGACATTTTAAATCAAAGCAACTTAACTTGAAGCGAAGGTGGAAGCAACGCATAGAAAAATGAGCAAATACTCAAACCCTTCTTCTAAGGATGTAATCTTTGCTATCAAATTCGTTCGAAGCATTTACCTTTGAGCGGCAGATGACGCGATTTTACCTGTCTCATAGCGTTCGTATGAGAAAATGGAAGAGTTGCCAGTCTTGATTTGTTGTCTTTGCTGTTAATTTCTGGTTTAAAATTTGATTTAAGTTCATCTGTCGTTGAACTAACGATTATTAATCCTTTAAATTTGTCGAACCTCTTAACGGAATCCCTTTATGAAGAGCTTTGAATGGGTTGGTTTATTTCCTTTAAATTCCATTATAATTGCTTATCTTTTGACAGATACGCGTATTTCGTCTACTACTTGCAGACTTCATCAGTGCAAGTACTCAACACCAAGTGGTGCAATTATAACGGAATTTAAAGGGAAATAAACCAACCCACTCAAAGCTTTTCATAACGATTATTGTTTATTTGTTTTGTTTAACACATTTTAGGTCATTCGTGACTAAACCGAGGTGAGATTTGAGATCAAGTCTTTCAGCGTGAAAAGCATGGATGCTAACCGTTTACACCAGGCCCGTATTCAGTTAAACATTATGAATGCAAAATCAGTAATCACATTGATTTCATTGAAAGCAGGATTAGTTTTTCGTTTGATTCAACAGTGTAAAATGTTGCTCTCATTTTTGCTGTGTTAACCGTTAAGTCAACCAAAATGAGATCAAATGGAGTATTCAAAATAAGTTACATCATAACAGCAAATTCTGATTTCAATTTGATCTCTAACTTTGCTAGGGCAGGTGTTGACGATGCAAGATGTAAATATAAACAAAGCTAATTTCAATGTTCTGTTCAACTGTGAACTGTCAAAATTTCACGGTAAACAAAAATATCAGCTGACCGCAGCTGTCTCATCGAATGCCTTATTTCCAATCATTTTCAAATATTACAAAATATCATCGACCAAATTTACGTATTTTCAAAAACAAATACAAATGATAATGCTGTTTGTGGCGAACAATTTTTGTTCTACGAATATGGTCGTTTTTAAAGCTATCTTTACAAAACATAAATATTCAATAATATTTTGATTAATTCACCTAAGTTAACCCTCCTCTAGCCATAACCTATGAAAATTTCAGAGAATTTTAGAACTTGAGAACTTAGTTCGGACAACCGGTAGCAACTAACGATTTTAAATTGGCTCACTACTATATTGGAGGCGAACCAGCCCAAGGCTGAAAGCCTCCCTAATAAAGTTAAATAATAATAATAATGTCTCACTACTTGACTAGCTTATTGGTGCCAAGCAAATCGATTAACGGACCCCGTTGTAGTCAAATTTCTAGTACTACACTATGTTTGTTTTGATTCGCTATGAAAGTTTGACAGATAAAATGAGGGGTTCGTGGATTTTCCTATGTTTCGAGGGGTGCATCGATTAGCTTGGGACCGAAGAGAGTACCAGAGCTGAGCCAAAAAGTTGAACACGTTTCTTCGTGACCTTCTGGTCTTAGAGTTACCTCTATGGTTCGGATCTATCAAAATATAAGGAGCTTAGAGTACTTTTGGAAAAGTATCGGAAATTATTGTAGCTTTGAATGTTTCAAGTTCTTTGAGTCCTGGTGGGTCAAAAAGCTGTGGGAGTCGGGAATTATGAAGCGAATCTCTAGAGGATTTACAGGCAGCTATGGAAACGTACCATTAAAACTTTTGAAAACGCTCCTTTACTGCGAAGCTACTCAGATTTACTGTCCTGTCAGTGCTTTTTAGTCAGAGAATGATCTTCCAAAAGAAGCTTTTTTAGAATCTTCTTTTAGAATCGTCTTTAGAAGCTTTTTTTTATAATCTTCTTTTAGAAGCTTATTCTATACGGTTGCCCGTCGCTTCACTCATATAACTGAATCTGTACTATGCGAGAAAAATCATAATATCAAATTTCGGGGTGATTTGAGATTTAGGCGTAATTGCATTTGTAAACGATTTCGCTTGAATAAATGTTCAATCTAAAAAAAACTAATAACAATGTCATATAGAGAAATGATTCGTTTATGATTTGGCACATATAGTTTACGTGATTGATTTTTTATTCACGAGAAATCAGCGATTGACGTGTTTGATACAATTACGCCCAAATCTCAAATCACTCCGAAATTGTGTTACCGGTCTGAATTCACAATGGGCCTTATTACGGTTGTCACTACACGGTGATAAGGAAGTGATACTCAGAATAAGAGCCGTGATTGCCATGCAAATCAAACGGGAATCACTTCACGGTGACGGCAAGTGACCAGTTTTCACCGTGAAGTGACATCCGTAATAAGCCCCAATATCACAGGCAAAGCAGATACACTTACGCGAAATTCACGGGAAAATAAGAATCTCCTTCATACGATACGATCCAACAAATTGAATAACGCAATTGTCACTGCTTATACTTAAGCTTCCCTCAGTATGTCAATCTCAGGTTCAGATTCAGTAACTTGATTGAACTTAGTGTTTAAGAATTCCCAGATTTGTGGCAAAAAATCCTGATAATTCAAAGTTTTTCCAGGTATTTTGAAATCTTTGATTTTTTTTACGTTGTTGCAATTGACTTTTATATCAGTCGACTGTTATGCCAAACGATTATTATTATACTGCTTTTATCACAAACTAATGTATAAATATTTCCACATTCACCCATCTAAACTCTTTTTCATCTGAATCCTATCTTTTTAAGTAAACCGGGGTAGATCGAGAAAAGCACCTGAGACTTCAGGGTAATCAAGTTTAATTCAATGCACTTACCTTTTACTCTACAGGCGGTGACATCGTCTCCGGCGATGGGCATGGTTCGATCAGCATCTACGGCAAATATTTCGAGGACGAAAATCTACACATCAACCACAGTAGCTCGGGCTTCATCGCGATGGCCAACCGCGGACCGAACACCAACGGATGTCAATTTTACATAACCACCATGCCGGCGCCGTGGCTCAACGGAAAGCACACCGTCTTCGGTAAAGTGCTGGACGGGCAGGGCGTTGTACACAAGGTGGAACAGCAGAAAACTGACACCGACGACTATCCAGTACCGACGATCATATTGGAAGATTGCGGTGACCACCCGATGGGCAATCCGTTTACCGTGTCCGATGATCCTTACGAGTGAGTCTTGCGGGAGATGAAGGTTTGTAGATTTAATTTTGCTGATTTTTTCTTTATTTGCTTACAGTCTTTGGGCCTGGATTAAAGCCGCATACCTGCCGCTGGGGATGAGCTTCAGCATTCTGGCCTTCTTTCAGTACATTATACGAAAACTGGATATCTATACTTAAATTTATTACTCTGTGTAAACGTTTTTGAGAAAGTTTTTGGTTTTCAATAAAAGTTCATAACAATTATAAGACATAAGACAAGGGGTTGTTCTTTTTGTGTTCCACGCAAACAAGTTCTGAGAGTTGATTTTTTAAATATTTTATTCCTTGCAATTTTAATCATTAATTATAATCAATATTTACAAAATATACAAGAAAGGTACAATTTATTCTTTCATTATGATCACAATCAGTTAATATTAATATTAATGTTTTAACTTTTTTTCATTTTTCCACTGTTTTTTTTTTTTTATTATTTTCATAATTGTAGTAGTTTTATTTTGCTTTCTTTTTTGTTTTTTCCTTTATTTTCAACGTAGAATTATTCTCATTTTGCTCTACTGTGGTGGTAGTGCTGCAACTTGCGCCCCCTCTTTCGGTGATTACTTTTGTGTTTGCATTCAACACTTCAGAGTTTCGATGGTTTCAATTGATTATTGGTTTAATGTTTTGTTTTTTTTTTACTTTAACAGTAAATGTGTTTGTGTTTGTGTGAGCGAGCCCGAGCGCGCGCGCGCTCGTGTGTGTGTGTGTGTGTGTGTGTGTGTGTGTGTGTGTGTGTGTGTGTGTGTGTGTGTGTGTGTGTGTGTGTGTGTGTGTGTGTGTGTGTGTGTGTGTGTGTGTGTGTGTGTGTGTGTGTGTGTGTGTGTGTGTGTGTGTGTGTGTGTGTGTGTGTGTGTGTGTGTGTGTGTGTGTGTGTGTGTGTGTGTGTGTGTGTGTGTTTGTGTGTGAGTGTTTTGGTGATTTTTTCCTCTTTTGTTCGCGTCGCCCTTTCATGAAAGGCTCAGTCGCATGGAAAAATGTACCTCCTGCGGGCTAAGTTCATGGCTTGCCTGATGCTGAGTTTCAACTTGATAAGCTTTGTTTCCTTAATTCAGTGTTTGCTCGTAAGATTCACATACACAATACATACATAATTTTGCTATCTAAACAGTTCCTTTTTCACACTTTACAACGCGATCCAAATTTCATTTCCTTTGCTGGGACTGTGTATTACTATTGGCTATCATTTTTGTTTTGTTATTTTACTTATTTCTTCGTCACAACGGTGGAAGTGCAGTTAGCTTCAATCCTGTCTTCTAACAATCTAATGAGCAATATTTTTTCCGCTACAATCTTCGGACGACACAAACATGAATCGAAAACGTATAGAGCAGTGCGTCGATCGAGTGTTGACACGTGAAGTAGTGACCACGTGTCGAACAAACGAAACTGTTTAAGGATGAATGTTACAAAAGCTGCCGAAGCTTCCTTCTACTCCACATCAACACAAATTGTGCTCAGCATAAAAACTTATCTGCAAAGGCGGCTCACAACCATGGACAGGACACGTGTGGCAGCATGAACTCGCGCGACACAAACCATTCATCGGGAAAAAAAACTAATCAAACCGAAATGACAGACGCAAAATATTTGCTCATGTTTTGTCATTTACGCTTTCAATCTGCAAATTGATGATTGTTGCTTGTTTTTACTTTCAGCGTATTTACAAACAAGATTGTTCGCATTCTCAATTTTGCATGTAAATGTTAATTGTGTGTTCTTACACTGTAGACTTCTAAAAACAGCATAATTCTCTGATGTTTTAGCTTCCGTTTAAGATTATATTTACACAAGTGTGAACTGCGCGTAGTACTAGCCTTAAGTTACTTCCTTTAAAAATAAAACAATAACTTCAATCGTAGGAAACTTATCACTAGCTTTTATCGTTTACTTGCAATGTTTACGTTTTCATTGAACATTGCATTTATTAACTTTTCCTTAGAAACAGTTTATGAGACCTACCTTGAATTTTACCAATTAGCTTATGTGTGAAATATTTATTCCTATACATTATATCCTCTTTTTCTTCTTCTTCTTCTTCTTGTTCTTTCTTCGTCATCATCGTTGGTTACTTATTTGCTGTAAATCTACTATTTAAGCTTCAACAATTACATTCAGCTCTTGCGTTCTCTCTGTACACAATATAAATATTTTACGACAACTCCACCTACTGTTGATCCTATATCGTACACATCGGTTTTAGGCAAAAAGTAAAAAAGAACTTATATACTACACACCTGTTAACAGAAAAGCGAAAACAATGTTCAATAAATTAGTAATAAGAAGGAAAGAAGACCACCCTTCCCTCTCGTTTTGCCAGCATGTACAAAAATCTCTTTCAGTTTCAGTTTTCCATCCTCCGATGCCGAGGACTGTCCGGTGAACAGCCCAAAACTCTACTGAAGGAAAGTAGAGTTACCCACAATTTACTCAACAAATCGTTTAACGTCGATTTCGTGTCGATTTAGTAGCCTTTTGCTTCATAGGTTAGTATAAAGAGTTCATAATACTTAAAAATTATGATCAAAATCACAGTTGTCACATAAACTTCTTTCCTTCCCACACATTTTATTCCATGATTCTTGGACTTTTCCCACATCGAAAGAAACACGTAGAAGTAAGCTGCATCTGCGTAAAATCGATTGCCTCTCTTCTCCTGTTCCAGGGTTTCTATCACGCTTATTTGCGCGTACATTTCTTATCTCTTGTTTAAGAATATTCAACCACTTAATAATAGGCTTTTATATTTACCACTCTGCTACACACTCGTCCTTACCATATTACTCAACAACTTATGTTCAACACTAGCTTTTCTCATATCGATTCCTCCCGACCCTTCCTGCCCTATCTCAACTCTAAGTAATCTTTTGTCTTTCTGCCCTTAAACAAATCTAAATTATCACTGCTTGCATGACGTGACATTTCCTTTCCTCTTGCTAGTAGTAGTAATAGTAAAATATTTTGTTACTTTAATGAGATCAATTCACATCCGTCTACTATCTGTCTCTTTCCCTCTCTGCTCTGCTATCAAACATTACTGATTTGCGTCAAAATCGGGTTCCAATAGTTGGAGTCACATCCGGGTACATCGTACACACTCACCCCATCCTACACCGTGGCAATCACAATCAGCAGATACTGAATGTTGGCCACCCGATGCATCAGATCCGGTGCGATGCGGGCCAGGTTTTCGTTGGCAAATTCGCACGACGGGAAGATGTGTACGACGTAGGCCGCCTGTGAACTTCCGGGAGCGGCAATGTTCACAATGCCGGCGGCCTGTTTCTGCTGTAGGTAGGTAATGAAACCGGTCTGAAGGTTGTTCTGCTGCTGGAGTACATCCATTCGGTCCCGGCCGCATGGAAGCGCCAGAAGCATGCAGTGCTCTTGGTCCATCTGAAATGGTGGCAAAAAGGAAGGATTGGATTTTGAGTCGACCCAAATAGGAATGAATTTATATAGATATATGATGTTTTACATAGATGTGGATAACAATTTTAACAAAACATTTGACAAACATTAAATTAATATACATCCGTCCAGGGCAGGGATCGTCTGGACTCTGGAGGCCAAAGAGTGACGTGCAATGGCGATAGGAGCGCAACAAAAAAGGCACACAGAGAGCTCAAAATAAGCACAATGAGTTTATAAACAGTTCCAAAATCAATGTAACATAATCAAAATTTTTGACGTTAGTTGGATAGCATGAAACAATATTATACTTCACTCAAATTTTAGAAAAAGTCTTCATTTTGGTTGGTTTATGTATAGAAAATAGTAAAACACGCGAATATTCAACGTGACCCTATTAACTCATTTATGAATTGGTGCTAACCAAACGTTCACTATTTAGTAGTACAAAGTGCAATCTACCACTACTGTTTAGGATACAACTCTATTCTCATTGATAAGTACTTTTAACTTAATCTTGAAGTAAAACTAAAACAGTTACTTTTACTTTAATACTCGATTTTGATTTGTTTAGTTTTCCTAGCTTTAAAAGTATCCAAAATCAACTGTTGCGATTGTAGTTGATTTTGGATGAAAATTTGTAACGTGCGCCATGTTTATTTTGGTATTGTCGCCTAGCGAAAGAAGCAGAAATTTCTCAATGTGAAGAACGTTTAAATTGGAAATTCGAATCTAGAACCGTAGGTATGTAGTAAATTTATAAAGTTAATTGGTTAAGTAATATTAAACTTTACTTCTTCGTAGGCTCTCTATGTCTGGAACCTGTGTAGAGCCATTCGTCATCCTTGCTCCATACATCGAGTCAACGAAGGAGGTCATTTACAGGCCTCCACCAACCAGCTGATAATTCCACAGTTAGTGAAGTGCACCATCACCCAGCATCTGAGGGCAGTGGATCAGTGCAAGTAAGAATAGTTGCGTTTTTGGACCTTGCTTTGTGGTATTACTTCGGTTCTTATCACATAATTGCAATGTGATTCGGACGAGTAAAACAGCTGCAGTCTGGGGAGCCAAGAGCGGTTTAAACGGGAAAGAAGATTGCTTGGGACTTGTCATCACCAGTAGATGTTAAAATCAACGCAACGGATCTCGCCTGGGCTACAAAATGGTGAGTTGACAACCTGGAAGGAGCGGAATACCTAGCCCTGGTCCTCACAAAGAAATGACTGGTTTGACGGCGAATGCAAACTGTTAGTAGAGGAGAAGAATGCAGCACGGGCGAGAATGCTGCAACAGCGCATGAGACTGAATGTGGAGCGATCCAGACAAGCGCGGAACAGACGGTTTTCCGAAGGAAAAAGCGTCAGCAGGAAGACCGAGATCGCGAAGCGATGGAAAATCTGTACCGCGTAAACGACACACGGAAGGTCTACGAGAAGCTAAATAGTTCGCGCAAAGGCTACGTGCCGCAAGCCGATATGTGCAAGGACTTGGACGGTAACCTTCTCACGAACGAATGTGAGGTGATTGAGAGGTGGAAGCAGTACTATGACGAGCACCTCAACGGTGAAGCAGCAGAAAACGAAGGTGGCACGGCAACATGCCTTGGAGCACGCGCAGGAGACGACAGGCTACCGGCCCCTGATCTTCAAAAAGTTGAGGAGGAGATCGATCGGCTGAAGAACAACAAAGCAACTGGTGTAGATCAACTACCAAGTGAGCTATTAAAATACGGTGGTGAAGCACTGGTTAGAGCGCTGCACTGGGTAATTGCCAAGATTTGGGAGAGTGGATAGAAGGTGTCGTATGCCCAATCTACAAAAAAGGCGACAAGTTGGATTGCTGCAACTACCGCGCGATCACACTGCTGAGCGCCGCCTACAAGGTACTCTCCCAAATTCTATGCCGATGCCTGTCACCATTTGTAAGAGAGTTCGTGGGACAATACCAGGCGGGATTCATGGTTGCCCGCGCTACCACGGACCAAATTTTCGCGATTTGGCAGGTTCTGCAGAAATGCCGCGAATACAGCGTGCCCACACATCATTTGTTTATCGATTTCAAATCCGCATGCGACACAATCGATCGAGATCAGCTATGGCAGATTATGCACGAGTACGGATTTCCGGATAAACTGACGCGATTGGTCAAGGCGACGATGGATCGAGTGATGTGCGTTGTTCGAGTATCGGGAACACTCTCGAGTCCCTTTGAATCTCGAAGGGGGTTACGGCAAGGTGATGGACTTTCGTGTATGCTATTCAACATCGCGTTAGAAGGTGTGATCAGAAAAGCTGGGATAGACACGAGTGACACGATCTTCAGGAAGTTCATCCAGCTTCTTGGCTTCGCCGATGACATTGACATCATGGCACGGAACTTTGAGACGATGGCGGAAACGTACATCAGACTGAAGGCTGAAGCTAGTCGGATTGGACTTGCCATCAACGCATCAAAGACAAAATACACGAAAGGAAGAGGTTCTAGGGAAGACAATGTTAGCCTCCCATCCCGAGTTCAGATTGACGGTGACGAAATCGAGGTGATCGATGAGTTCGTGTATTTGGGTTCACTGGTGACCGCCAAAAATGATACCAGCAGAGAATTCAAAGACGCATTATGACAGGGAATTGTGCCTACTTTGGACTCCGGAGGACGCTCCGGTCGAATAAAATTCGCCACCGCACGAAGTTGACTGTCTACAAGACGCTGATTAGACCGGTGGTCCTCTACGGCCACGAGACCTGGACTATGCTCGTGGAGGACTAACGCGCCCTTGGTGTTTTCGAACGGAAGGTGTTGCGTACCATCTACGGTGGAGTGCAGATGGATGACGGAACGTGGAGGAGGCGAATGAACCACGAATTGCACCAGCTGCTGGGAGAACCATCCATCGTCCACATTGCAAAAATTGGACGACTACGGTGGACTGAGCACGTTGTAAGAATGCCGCACGACGACCCAGTGAAAATGGTTCTAGAAAGCGACCCAACAGGAACAAGAAGAAGAGGCACGCAGCGGGCAAGGTGGATCAACCAAGTAGAAGGTGACGAGGCTGGCGAACTGTGGCCATGGATCGAGTAGAGTGGAGACGACTTCTTCGGACAGCAGAGGACAACAAGGCCTTAGTCTGATTGGTAAAGTAAGGTAAGGATCTCGCCTTACAATATAATCGATTCTCCGTGTTCGTTTACATGACTTTATTTCAGAAGATGGAAAAGTCACCACGTTTTTTTACATCTGAGACGGTTGCTTGAAATTTTTTATTTTTCAAAAATTCTCGAGTGAAACACTATTTGTGATTAGAAATATGCCACCGCCGGATTCGGAAGGATATATATCCAAGTAACCAAAAGTTCCGCATTCAACGATTAAAATCACTTCCAAGTTCCATAAAGTTCAAATAAAGTTGCGACCGAACCTTCAAGTTCCATAAAGTTTAAATAAAGTTCCGACAGGACTTTCAAGTTCCATAAAGTTCGAATAAAGTTCTGACAAAACTTTCAAGTTCCATAAAGTTCAAATAAAGTTCCGAGAGAACTTTCAAGCCAGATGAAGCAATCTGCACAAGTCTTTATTAGTAACAAAATTTAATGTACGTAAATATGAAATGATCAGTGGCCCGAATAAATCATAATTCTTATATTTATGCAGTGCATCACCATTCTATCCAAACATAAAAAAATTAAAGAGTAATTTCCGGGATTTGAACCCGTGTATTCGGCATGTGATCTACGACTACTAACCACTGCGCCACAAGTGTGTTGGAATACCATGCGGGCAAACACCAATTTAAAATTCATCAAGGTGTTGTGTTTCGTATTCAAGTCAGTCAGCTGGCACTGAAAACTCCGAAAACTAAAGATTGAGTCATTAAATATCTGGACGCACTGTTTATTTTACTGCAGTGCTCCCAGCGGTCGGATTTGGAATGTTTTGACAGCAGTTTGTTTTGACATGTTTCCTTTTTTAGTGCTGAAAAGTTCGTCATGATTCATTTTGTTTAAAAAAAAGTTATACTTGATGGAACCCGCGAACCGAAAATTCATTTTGGACACCCACTTCGAAAAGTCGTTGAAATTGGCTAAATTAACCGTGTCCAGTGTTCTCAAACGTTTCCATGAGCGGAATACTATCGATCGGCAGGATCATAGCAAGCGTCGTAGTGGAACTAAGTATCGGAAGCTGCATTTGAAGGTGTTGAGAACGGTTAGGGCAAACCCAGGGCTGTCGGATTATGATATCGCGAAGAAATGTAATGCCAGGATTCGTCACCGAGAAGGATTTTGATCTTTTCGGGTCAGTAAGCTACCAAATAGGACACTGAAGCAGAATCTAGTTGCCAAAAGTCGTGTCCGGAAGTTGTATAATGAGGTTCTTACAAAGTACGAAGGATGCATCCTCATTGACGACGACACGTACGTGAAGATGGATTATGGGCAGCTTCTCGGACAAAAGTTCTGTAAAGCCACTGGTCGAGGTGATGACCCTAGCAAGTTCAAATTCGTTTTTGCCGATAAATTTGCAAGAAAGTTTAAGATATGGCAAGGTATTTAAAAAAACAGGTTTTCGGGGTTGGACTATGGATTCCAAAATGTACAAGCAGGAGGGCCTGGAAAAACGTATTCTGACCGACTAAATCAGTTCTTTATTGAAGGCCATCACATGTTACAGCATAGGGCTGTACCTTCGCAAGTGGACGCAGAATCCGATCGACCACCCGCAAATGTGGCCGACGGCCAATTCCAGTTCAGGCGCACTAACGTCAACGAAGTCACCAGGAAAATTTACGAGATTGGGACCAACGCGAAAGGGACGTATGAAATCCCCATCTCATTCATCAAGCTGCTCTGCCCGTTTATCCTCCCCCTCCTGACTCACCTGTTCAATGCGATTATCGATGCCTAAACTTTCCCCTCCGTCTGGAAAAAGGCCATCGTTACCCCAATACCGAAATCATCGAACCCTACTTCACCGAAGGACTTCAGGCCCATTAGTGTCCTACCTGCGGTGTCTAAGGTACTGGAGAAGATTCTACTGTCGCAAATAACGGATCATCTCGATCTATCCACACCCGCTCTTCTTGCCAAACACCAGTCAGGATACAGGAAAAACCACAGTACCACGACTGCTCTAGTCAAGGTTGCTCACGATATCCTCAACAACTTTGACGATAACAGGTGCACAGTAATGGTTCTTGTCGACTTTTTGTTGGCATTCAACTGTGTCAGACATGGTCTACTTGAAACGAAGCTGAGGAGGGAATTCGGGTTTTCAAAATCCGCGTGTAATTTGATTTCATCTTTCCTAGCGCAGCGAAGCCAGGTTGTAAACCTGGGTGGTACTCGCTCGAATCCCCGGAATCTCACCGACGGTACGCCACAAGGATCCTGTCTGAGCGCCCTGCTGTTTAGCCTATACATCAACTGGTGTGCTAAAATGCGAGTATCACCTCTATGCGGACGACCTCCAAATCTACATATCAGGCCCCGCAAGCGAAATTAACAGGCTCGTCGAAGCAATCAACCAGGATCTCCTCGCTATCGAACGTTGGGCCACTGAGAATCGTCTGTTTCCCAACCCAAAGAAGACGCAAGCTATAGTCTTTTGTAGAGATGGGGCCATAATCCCTCAAGATGACATCCGCTTCTGTGATGAAACCATTACTTTGTCGAACAAAGTTACCAACCTTGATCTCATTATGGACTCTAACCTAAAATAGACCGACCAGATAAACGAAGTCACCAAAAAGATCTACAATACTCTTCGTACGTTCAGGCGCTTCCGTGGAGTGCTTTCCAGACAGATTCGTATGAAGCTCGTCCAAGCTGTGGTGATACCGTTCTTCGCATACTGCGACGTCGTGTACTACCCAGGACTGTCCACCGCGCTCAAGGCTCAGTTGCATCGATGCTTCAAGTCGTCGGTGAGGTTTGTGTATGGTATCCGAGGGTGTGACACGACCAGAGAAGTGCGACACACCATACTCGGATGCGATCTGCCGGAAAACTACCACCGTCGTATCTGCTGCTTCATGTACGGGGCCTACCATGAAAGCCTCCCAGAGTACATCACGCAGTACACACCTAAAGGTCGGAACGAGGGAGCTAGATCATTTGTCCTACCGCATCACACCACAAGTTCCCGAAAAAGTGTTCTAATATTCGGAGCGACCACCTGGAACGCACTACCACTAGCTACAAGGCAGCAACGGACTCTCACGTCGCTTAAAGCGGTGCTCCACAGAGCTGATTAATTCTCTAGGCTAATACCAATAGTAGCTGTCGATTTAAGAAATGTCAAATGTTTAGATTTAGACTTTAATTTCATTCTTAACTCCCCACTAAACTGATTCAAAATGGTTGCATCCTTGACCTGATTTATGGTTCTGTAACTGACAGGTTTTCGTTATGCTATCAATAAATTACAAATTACAAATTACAAAAAACGTATGCTTCCGTAAATTAAGGCTCTCAATGCACCTGTAAAGTTTTGGCCTGTTTTGACAAGCTGTCACTACAGCGGAGAAGTTCTACAGTGGTATCGAGACAACGGGGCAGATTTCTTCGAAAAGGACATCAAGCGAGCCCTTAATCCCGCCCAATTGAGAAATATTGGGCAATTGTCAAACAGAAGTTGAAAAAAGGTGGAAAGGTGACTTGGGATGCGACAGAGATGAAGATATGGTGGAACAAAACGGCCGCTCAGTTTAGCCAACAGAGTGTCTAAAATATGATGAGTGGTATTCGAAAAAAAGTTCGAGATTTCATCCAAACCAAATCGGAATATTTTTTTTCTCTATTTTTCCTTTAAGTGCAATATATGAACTTCATTTTGGTTCCGAGTGGTAGATCTTACATCCCGTAATGTACCACGAAAAGGTGATCTACCCACTATACGGGGCTAACGGTTGTACGACAGAGAGGGCCGACTTTATCTCCCACGACGACAGTTTCACCATATTGGTTCTTTATTTCACAAACCTGCTCGTTGAACTCCACAACAAATTTCTTTGCGACCATTATTATGGATAACTATTGACCTTTTGCCAAGCATTCTGTAGTTGTGAGATCATAATTCGTTGTTTTAAAAGGAACTCAAAAGAGAAATGCAAGGAAATTGCAAGGAGAGTCTTTGACAAATTGAAAAAAAAACTTAAAGGAATTTAAAAGATAGGGGAAAATGCCTCTTATTTGAGCACATACATAAATTCAGCAATCGACTAAATTTTCAATAGCGTCCAAAAATATGCATTAGTTCTGTCCCAATGTCGCATTCATCTAGATAAAATTGATAATTAGCAGATTTTTAGCGATGGGCTCAATCTTAGATCCATAGGCCAACATTAGAGACATTTCCCCTATTCTGGGAAAATTATTTGATAACGCTAAGCTGAATTTACTGGAAAAAAAAAATCCTGAAAATCGGTCAAAATTTACACCAATATATTTAGAGATTGCAACCACATTCCCGGTTATTTCCCGGCTGTTTTTTTCCTTGGTTTGTTTTGCGTCGATCTTGTTTTCCGTACCAATGCTACCGACGCCAGGGAGGCAGCTTCCACACCTGGACACCCACCTAAATTCAAACATTAAAATGCAGTTACAAACAATATCAAAAATTAATTGGACCACTTATATTTATTTTGCATTCGTCAAAAACCATTTTCACGAAAAAATAGTGACTTTTAACTAAACAGCTTAAAAAAATACTAAGGTATTCAAAAGTGACCAACATCCATCCTTGCAAATAGGTGCAATATGCATAGACTCCTTGAGTCTGTTTGGACATGTTTCGTTGATAAGGGCATTGTACCAGTCGTGGTTCATCTAGTAGATAATTTGATCTGAACTCCAAGACAATTAAAATAACCTAGAACGTCTTATATACCGTGAAGACATCATATTTGACGCAGTTGAGGAAATATAAAATTTCATGTTGATTTAAAAATCAACACGCCATGGATTCCTTTGAAATTTTGCGTGCCACTACACTATTTGAAATATTTACTCAAAACAGCAATGTGTTTTCAAGAAAATTAATCAGTGCTAGGGTGTCCCAAAGTAGCTTTTCGTCATGAAACCTCGGGGTTCAACCTTCAAATTTAAAGCTTACGGTGATTCGAACGAACTTTTGTATGGCGGCAGCTCTGGGAAATGTTGTTTAGAGGCACAAGTTTAAGTTTTTTGAAAAAAGTTTTTTTTCTTAGCATAGAAGAAATGGATGTAATGTCTAATGCCCCTAATTTGGACCTATACATAAATTTAGCAATCGACTAAATTTTAAATAGCGACCAAAATTATCCATTAGTACCGTCCCAATGACGCGTTCATCTAGATAAAATTGATAAATAGCAGAAAAACATAGGGCAACATTTGAGCCATTTCCCCCATTTCCTTAGCACAGAGATAAACTAGCCCATGGCTAGAAATCTCCAAAATAAAGAATTAAAAAAAAAACGGTTCAAACTATAAGAAACAAAGTGTTACGGTTTGTTTTGTAAAACATGTTTTTTGTTATATATTTTTAATTCTCAAGATTTTTAGGTAAATTATGCCATTTAATCGATAAAAGTGGGTATCAAACATAATGTCATATTCAATCTAGTCCAATAGAAAGATGCGAAATATTATAACTAACAACTTTGGCAAAGGATGTATGTATTATTTTCTGTTTATTGTCAAAAAACAAACTTTTTGTTTATAACCATATGAGCGGTGAATAGAAACCCAACAACGATCAAGGGTTTTCATAAAATAAACTTAAGGGGGTATTCCCGATCTTTTTTTTCAAAAAAATCAAATTTTTTTTTCACGTTTTTTTTGTACTTTAGACTATATACTTTCATCCCCCCAAGCGGTTTTCCGATCAGCGAATTCGGTGTCCAGGCATAGCTGACTAATGGTAAGAACCCCCAAATGGTTTTAACTAAAGTCAAAACTTTAAACGCGTTTTTCTCGAAACCACATTTTTTTATCGGGCGAAGATTTTTCTCAGAAACTATAAGAGATATTGGCTTGAATCTTTGCGCATTTTGTTCCTTATTAAATTCTTTGGAGCTTCTCCCACTTTCAGCCAAAAATATTAACATTTAACATTGTTTGAAGCACCTTAAAGCTGCAAAAAAGCGGGCTAAAAATCGCCTGTTTTTTCATATGGCCGCCATTTTGTTAATTTGCAAGATTTTTTGCTGCCAACGGGAGAAGCTCCAGAGAATCTTATGCAGATTATTAATTTCATCACGAAATCTGTTTCAGATGAAGCCGTTCCAGAGAAAAGTCTTCGCCCGTCCAGGCGTTTGCGGCGAACAGGGGTCTGTTTGCCGCCATTTTGTGACGTCAATACTGTCTTTTTCTTATGTCGAAAAAAATTTATTTGTAAACTTTAATGTTCAATAAACAAGAATCCCAAAGAGTTAGGCGCAATACTATTCATTTTCCTTGAAAAAAAATTAATTGAAAAACAGGCCGAAAAAAGGCAAAAGATTGGGAATACCCCATTAAAATAAGCATTACTACCAATTTTTCATAACAAAGGCGAGTGTTTAATCAATATTTAATGCCTTAATAACATACAATCATATAATGCGTTAAATGGCCAGTATAGACAATTCGAAAAGTAAATATTTTCACTACGGCATGAGTGGTGAATGGGACCCCTGGTTACATGCACTAATATGCCTCGAAATCAATTTTACCAGCATTGTTTTGGATGTTTTATATTTTATCCACAATGACCTTCAAAGGCAGTGCAAAAATATGCTCATTATATTTATGAAAAGTAATTTTACTAACGTTGTGAACTTGCTCTAAAGTGAGCGGTGAATGAACACCACACGGTATATGTACCTAATAATAGTGATAAACACAAAAACAAATTCTACTTACTTGCATCTTCCGTGCGACGCCATCGATTTGTGCAGGCTCGAGCCGCATTCGCTGAGCAATCCGTAACGGGGGCGTTGTACCGTCGCTGTTGCTCGGCAGTGAACTGCCCGCCACGCCCGGATTGCCGTGCACAAAGTGCATCTGCACTGCAGCCTGATCGTTCTTCAGAGCCAGCAATCCTTGCCACATGACCGGATAACGTTGCAGTAGGGCCTCCAGCGAATCACTCTGTGTCGGTGGTGGACCACTAGCAGGCATCTGGACGGCCCCGACAGGAGGAGTCGATGTCTGAAGGTTTCGTCCAGCAGCAGCCTGTTGTTGTTGAGTCATCGATGCCGGCATACTTCCACTATGGGCTGGCAACGGGGCACTCGAAACAGGAGCGGCGGCCGCTGCATGTCCTAATAGGGAAGGATCAAAGAAATCATTCAGTTCGTAGTCTGTTTGCCAGCATGTATAGGGATCGATGAACCGATCGTAGCTACCTGTCAGCGTGACGCGATCCCTCTGTTGCTGCAGCTCGCGATCACGCTGCTGCTGCTGTTGTTGAGATTGTTGTTGTTGATCACGCTGCTGCTGCTGCTGCTGGATTTGTGCAAGATTAGCCGGTGATGCTGGAGGCGGAGTCTGACTGGGTGTTCCGGGATAGGATCCCGGAGGGAATCCTGTACCGGTGTTTACCAAACTGTGTGGTCGGTGAGCTGGTGGTGGCTCAGCACTCATAGCTCGTGGCGGAGCATTAGATCCAGCAGCTGCCGGATCGTAGAACCGCGTGTGGAGGGAGTCCGAATAATTATGTGGAATGCGAGCGCTTCCTATGTATACTTGTGCCACTTGTGGTGAATCTGAAGATTTGATATGAAACAGTTTTAGTGGTCGTCAATTATTTACGACTAGTTATATATAAATATTATACCTGTGGAACGATCTCCAGGGCTCTGCAAACTGTGAGGCACAGGCACGGCAGTCGTTACAGGACGTGGACCACTCGGTGGACGGCGTAATTCGAGAGGAGGGCTCGCTGCCACACTTTCTTCCATATCAGACAGTTCACGTTGCTCCATGGATCCGGCCAACATTGGAGACCTGCTGCTTGCCGAGAAGGATTGTTTATTTAGAACAAATTTAGAAAAAAAAATGTTTGCACAATTAAAAACTACTAACCTTGGTATAATACTGGTTCTGCTGTACATGTACTTGGCAAACTCCCGTGGCATCCCACCGCGAAAGGAGGCATCGTTCTGTAAATAGAAACACAACCGTTAGATTCAAACCACAGGCATTTGCACAAAAGGTATGAAAAAAGGAAGCTAATATAATAGGAATAATAACGTTTAATAGGAACACAAGTAGAGAACCGGAAGATCAAATCGATAGTTCTAAACATTCAAATATTTACTGATTGTACTAGTACCGGTGTAATTGGCGACGTTTGCTGCTGATGAGCCGGCGGAGGACTTTGTCCGCGAGCGATGAATCCTGCCAAATCTCCATGCTGCAGCATACATAGAGAAGCAGCAGCAGCGAGTAGTTGAGGATCCGTTACGAAGCATTCAAAGAGAGGTGGAATCGAACTTAGCTACGTTGAAAGAGGTGTTCAAAAACTTAAAATTGAACCTTTTCACAAACAAAACGAAAAAAACGATCTATGGTACAAAATGTTCAAGGCAAAAATTTGCTACGGAGCAGAAAACTATGTAAAATTGGATCCAAAATACTCGAAATTTTTCGCTCCGTAGCGGGATTTAGCTAGGTCAACAATTTTGTGTCATAGATTGATATGAACGGCAACTGGGAGGTCAAAAAGTAATAAATCATGATCTGAAATTATGTTAAACTTACTTATCTGTAAAAAAAACATGAGCTGTTCTTGATAATTGGTCACAAACATTATTTTTATCTATTGCAACACTAATGTTAGGACAAATTCATGAACATCTGATCTTTTTTTTTTATATATATGTGTAACAACAAATCAGAGCTTCATAACATTTTTATAATCATTATCTAAAGCTCTCTTTCCGGACACCAAAAACTTCCATCCCACCTGAAAACTAAACTCCAGTATACAAGCTCTACTAACCTGGTTCGTTTCGTAAGCCACCTGGGGTGGCACGTTCAATCCCGGCTGTTGGATATGTCTCAAATGGGACGCCGGTGGTGGTCCCGGTTGTCCTTGCGGACTGATCGGTGGCACGGCAATGCGAGAACTGCTTGCACCTGAAGAAAGATAACATATCGATTAGCATCTACTACGTACGGACAATCAAGTGTAATCTTACCTGTTACAATCGGCTGTTGACTCTGCATATGGGGTTGCTTCAGCGGTGGGCTAGCAACAGCTCCGGTGAGAATCTGTGGTGCCGGATGCAGATGGGGAGAAACTCCTTTGCCTGGCTGAATCGTTAACAGCTGCGATGGAGAAGGTGGCGGTGCAACCTGCTGTTGATTACCACCGACCGGTGGAGGACCTGATACGACGTGATTCGCCTTCATCAAGCCAACTGGTTGATTATGCGGCAACGAAGATAGTTGCTGGAGAGGTAATTTTGCTCCCACAGAACCTGCTGTCTGCTGAAAAACCTGTTTTCCACCAGCGTGGACGGATTGCATATGAGCAATGGTTTCAGGACCAACCTTATGCTGCTGTATCTTGATCGATTGCCCACCATGGACCGTCGTGACAGTTTTGTGTACCACCGTAGGTTGAGACTGAATCGACTGTTGTTGTTGATAATGGATCGGAACTCCGCTAGCACTGGAGATTTGGATAGTCTGGGTTTGCTGCTTTCCAAGCATGCCCTGCTGCTGTTGTTGGGGTTGACCTTGGCCAAGCTGCACTGGTCCTTGATGGATAATCTTCCCGCCACTCTGCAGCACAGTTGTATAACCGGTAGGAATCTGATGATGTCCTGGTGGTGCTTTACTGCTGTGGATGATGATTTGCTGAGGGCCAGGTTGACCTTGATGGTTCAGTTGCGGTGGTTGACCTTGTTGTTTGTGGACAACTTGTGGTGAATGTGGTTGCTGAGATTGTATTTGTCCCGGTTGACCTTTGTTGTTGGTTATCACCACCTGATGGGGCATTCTCGGAGACATGGGAATATTTCCCATTTGGGAATTCTGAGGAATATTGATCAATAGATTTCCACTTCCAGGTGGATGATGTACTGCTGAGGGATGGCCTTGTTGTTGTTGCTGCTGCTGCTGCGGTGGCCCAATTTTATTGATGATCGTGTGCTTGTTAATTGTCATTTGTTGTTGTTGCATCTGATTTTGAATGATGATCTGCTGAGGACCAGCTTGTTGTGAAACACCTTGAGGTGACATATTTTGAGGAGGAAGCTTCATGTTTGTACTGGGATGAATTTGCTTTCCAGTGGTGGTATGAATAGCTCCCGAAACTGTTCCCGGTTGCTGAGACATGACCGACTTGTACACGATCTGAGGCTGACCTTGCGAAGATGGTGGATGAGCCGGCTTGCCAGCTTGTGATTGTTGATTCATGATCTGCTGTGAACTTAACATGTGGGCTTTCAACGAATGCGATTTTGATGAACCTGGTTGCAACACTGTCGGAAGCTGGGACATTCCTTGACTCAGAGGATGCTGTATGACAACGGTTCCTCCGGTAGCATGTGGCGGCTGCACGACGACAGTGGGTGCCGAAATGTTCGGATTTTGAGATGACACAGGTAGTGGAGTACTTTGCTTAACCATAGCAGCAGAAGACATCTTTTGGGCCTCCATCTGTTGCGTAGGATGCGGAGCGACCGTAGTGTTGGGTGTGGGTACTCTTGTCATTCCAGGTGATGGAGCCAATCCCGGTGTTGGAGTTCTATTTGGGACTGGTGATGCCGAGGCGGATATCGATGGAGTTGGTGACGTTTTCATTTCTGCATTTGCAGCCGCCGCAATGACCTTCTTTAATGGCTGTGGAGCGTTCGGCATTGGCACATATTGACCTTCTTTGCTTGTTCGCACCACAGTTAACTCACCAGTAACCGGATCTATTAATGCTAGCGAACTTGCTTGAGTCGAACCAAGCTCCGTTTTCACCTCATCGGCTGACTTCGGTTTCTCTTTCGATTTGTCAGCCAACGAAGCCATCTCATTAGGCCGCGTTACAGAAACACTCGGCGTAACCGGTGCTGTAGCAGACAAGGTGCCAGCAACAGACGTTTCATCAACCTTACCATCGATTGTACTAGGCCTGGAAACACCCATTGGGCGCTCGTCGTTACTATCGTTAGATGTTTCAGAAATTTTGCGGTCTTTCCCTTTACGTCCTGCACGGGGAGGTTTGCGAGCATCCGGACTCATAGCTGGTAAAAAAAAGTAAAAAGAAAGAAAAACAGTTTTAAACATCATTCTCATTTTATAATATTAAAGACCTACCGTTAGCCATGGTTGCATTGTTTCTAGTCGCCCTTCTACCCGCATGTCCAGGAAGATCACCCGGAACCATCTGCACAAGCTGCGACTGAGCTGGCGACATCATCTGATTGACCTGGTTGATCGTTTGTTGCGTTTGGAATTGTTGAATGAGCATCTGTGTTTGCTGTTGCGGGGGTATTTGAACCGGTGGAGCCAGCATAACCCTTGGCGATGGACCATTACGGATGACATCGTCAATAATGTCATCCACGGTGGTACGCCCATCTTTCTCCAGCAAACGACGTGACTTGCGAGTGTTTCCCGGAGGTTGCATGAGTTCTTCTTTTGATCCTGCATCAGTAACTTGTGCCGGAATACTCTGGGTTTCCAACGGTAGCTGAGGAACAGGACAAGAGGTGGTTGGGTGCAGCTGAGCCGCAGGGGTGCTGATAATTCCAACAGTGGTCATACTTGGTTGAATTACTGGAGCAGACGTAACAACAACCGGAGCAGTGCAAGTGGACGGGGTTGGAGATGCAGTTGTACCCTGATTCTTGATGGTCAGAATCAATCTTGGGCGGGACCCGTCCGCTTGTTGCTTGTCACTTCCAGCAACCTCTTCACCAGAATCATCGTGAAATTCATAGACATCTGATCCCGTGTTCTGATGTTTACCTTTTGAACCCGGAATTGGCATAGGTTGCACATTTGAAGCTCCACCTCTCGCAGCTCCGCCTCTTGCACCACCTCTCCCACGCTTTGAAGCCGTTTTGCCACCACGTTTAGCGGTCGAAGCAGTATCCATTTCCGGTACCTTATCCGATCCTGGAGCTTTGACTGGAGTTGAAACACTTTCCGATGTTTTCCTTCCTCCCCGTCTACCTCCACGCTTCCCTCCACGAGTAGGAGGTGTGGCTTCTGTTGAACTTTCCTCGACCTCATCTTCTTCTGCTGGAGTAGTGGTAGGTTCCGACACAGGAGTAGGAGCTGGCACCGTCGACAATACTGATGACTGAACGGGAACCGTAGATGTAATTGTACCCGCGAAAGGTGGCTGCTCGATTTTCTTTTCATCTGCTTTGGGCGGTTCGGAAGCTGGAATGCTGGATATGCTTGACACGCTTGGAGCAGGTGCGGGTTCACCAGCTTTTGGCTTATCTTCTGTTTTGTTCCAGTCTTCTTTGTTCACTTCCGAACCACCTTCCGAAACGTCGTCTTCGGAACAGAGTGCGTCAACCTTCTTGATCACCGAATCAATTATGGTATCCTTGGAAGACCAGTAGTCACTATCTTCCTTAGAATCACCTTCTGGATCTTCCTGATCAATGCCAAGAACATTCGACGTACTGGAGTTGTCATGAATTTTGGCAACATTCTCTTCAGTAAGTAAAGATCTAGCAGATTCTTCGGCAGCAGCAGATGTTTCAAGCTTCACACAAGTTTGTGGTTGGACTGCGTCTTCTTTACCAGTTGATTGAGGCCGTTCTTTCTCTGTGGACGGCGTTGTCACTTCGGAGGGCGACAGCTTGTCCTTGGACAGTTCAACGACTTTATCTATTGCTGACAAGGGCGTATCCGTCTGAACTACTGCAGCTATAGGCGGTATCTGGTGATTTGGATTTGAAGTAATTGTCGAAATTGTATTTAGCGGTTTCGAGTCCTGTTTTGGCTTTGAGACGATAACGTTGGTCGTCGAGGTGGGTACGGACTGCTGCATACGAATTGGTTGTTGACCCATTACCATTTGCGGTTGCATTGCAACTGGATGCTGTGGCACAAATTGTTTGATGGGATGCTGGATATACATCGGTTGCTGGTGAATGATAGTTTTGGTAGGAGTACCAGGAGTAGCTTTTTGTCCAGGGTCCAAAGGTTTACTGTTATGGATAACGTACGTGGTAGTCGATGGTACAGTAGCTGACGATACTATAACCTTTGATCCAGTAGCAGAAACAGGTGAAGGTTCGTTTCCCAGAGCGGGCATTGATGTTGTATTAGCCATGGTTGTAACGACTCGAGCTCCCGGTGCCATGCCCACGTTTGCGAATGTAGTAATAGCCTGCTTGTTAGATGACTGCTCATTTGATTTTTGCGACGATGGAGACGTTTTCATTTGCGTTACTCCTGGGAATCGAGGCGTCGTGTTGATAGGCTGAACAATTTGCGCAGCTTTCGGAAGGAACTGGTTAGTAGAACTCGGTGATGATACTAAGAATTGGCCGCCTGGCTGATGAATGATCATCTGGTGTGGACTTAACTGTGATCTCAACATGTTCGGGCTCGTAGCCGTCGGAGATGATGTTCTCGCAAAGGGAGAAAGAGGTTGGTGTTGTAACTTCGGCGACTGCATCTTAGGGTCACTCGCAGCTGGTCCTCTAGGAGACATCACGGTCTCCATCGATTGGTACATAGGGTGTTGTTCAGGAATGGTAATCGTTGGAGGCGCCTGCATGATCAACTGATGCCGAATCGGCAATTGATTGCCGACCAACGGTGGTTGACTAACTGTCAATTTCTGTGCGACAATAGGCGTTGATTTACTTTGAACAACTGTGGCTGACGATGTGAACACTGATTTAGCGACCGGGGTTGTTGTTGTGGTCAGTGCCTTTGCTTGCGAATCCTTGATTGCTAATGTCGCTGTTGTTGGCGTCACCGGCTTCTGATTCTGTACAACGATTGGCATTTGAACAGCCACAGTTGGTTTCGTATTGGTTGTAACATTGGTGGTTGTGACAGTGGAGGCACTACAAACGATCGATACAGTTGATGCCGAACTGGGCATTGCAGTGTTAATCGTGATTGTCGATACAGGTGCACTCTGAGATGTCGAAGTTGCAGGCACACTGCTAACAATGTGCACATTCTTGCCGGGTGTATCAGGCATCTCCAGCTTGTCGTCCTTTTTGGCGGAATTTGGAGTAGAAGAACTGCTCAATGTATCCGATAAGGGCTTACCAATTTGACTCAAATCCACATCCGGGGTCTTTGGTGGATTGTCAAATCGTAACAAGCTTGCTGGATGCTCATCATCTGCCTGATCTTCGGTGTCGGTATCGATTTGCAGATCGTGTTCGGATGTCGGAGTATCCGGTTTCATGTCTAGGCCTTCGGTGTTTAAACTGAGGATAGCTTTCTTAATTTCCTCATTATCTTCATCTGGAATTTGCGGCGGATCAGAAGCCAACTGTGAAGATGACTCTTCGGCCGGATCTACTGAATAATCGATCGAGAAATCAGGTGTATTCGATGTTCCGAAGCTTTCACCAAGCAGAGCTGCCACTGCGTCTTCGGTTTCTTCTTGCGAGATTACCACTCTCGATTTTTCTTCTATTTTTATTTCGTCCGATTTGTTCTTCAAGGAATCGGCTGGATCTGAACTCTTGATTTCATCCTTGACGATTTTTTCAGAAATAAACTCTCCGGAAATAGAAAGTACGGCCTTTTCATGAATCTGCTCGTCAATGTCAGTGCCAAAGCCTGGAATCAACTTCTCCGGTTTCCGTTTTGACTGATTCGATGAGGAGCACGGTTCAGATGGTTTAGCTTGTGTGCTTTCTTCTTTTATGCTGGCCGGCAGCGATTCCTCGTCGTCTTTGGTTGGAGTAGAACTAGCCAATTCGTGGCCCGTTGGAGTAGGCGATAGAAGTTGTCTAGATGGCGTCGTCGGGTACATTGGTTGGGCTGGTTGTCGGCTGTTTGAGGCCGGTGGACTTTCGTCAAGCAAACAAGGTAAGCTGGGAGAAGGTTTGCTAATGCTATGTTTACTGTCTTCTTGTTGAGCTGATATTATATCCAACGATAACTTGTTGTTCGTTGGAGTTATCGGAGTCATCGTAGGAGGATTTGTATGATTATTGCTGGTACTGTGGTGGTGTTTATGCTTCTCATCTTTGCCTCTCTTCTTTTTCTTCTTCTTTTCTTTACGACCATGATCGGATTCCTTTTTCTCGGTAAATGATGTTTCCATACTATCGTCTCCGTCGGTGAATCGGAATACATCCATCACATCAACAGAGGATCGTTTTCCGCTAGTAGTTACCGTCGAACTCGGAGAAGCATCTTCAGCTTTTTGATCAGAGTCACTCATGAGCTGTGCTTCGAGGGCGCGACCTGCCTCGTCCAAATCTACACTGTTTTCTTCTTCCTTCATTGTTATTGTCGCTCGAAGCTTTTCACGTTCACGACGTTTTTTCTCCTTCTTCTTCCTAGATTCTTCCTTCATCTTTTCTTTCTCGGTTATCTCACATTCGTTCGCCTGTTCTGTCTCTGACGGCTTGGATGCATCTTCAGCTTTCAAATCAACCGGTTCTTGTTTAATTGATACTTCGGTTTCAACAGACGAATGCTGAGACTCCTCATCAGAAATTGGCCCAAAGATATCTTCTATCTTTTCTTCTCGCTTCGCACTGGTTACCATGGAATCTGGTATTTTGTTTGAGTCTTTGTGCTTGTTCTTCGACTTTTTGGACTTTCCGGATTTTTCGTGGTCTTCTTTGGATCGATCTCGTCGTTTGTCCTTTTTGCCACCATGCTTTTTCTTCGAACTGACGTACATCTGATCGTCAGAAGACTTCTTCAGTTCATCAAACATAGTATTCGCAGAACCGACGTCATCGTGTGGTGAATGTTCCTTTTCACTTTTCACATCTGTCTCAGATCCTTCGACAGTCTTATGACGCTTTTGCTTCTTCTTGTGCCTCTTCTTCAGATCAGAATGTCCAAACATTAACTGATCAACAGCGCTGTTCACTGTGTTCTCTATTTCTGCATTAACCACTGTGGTTATGTTCGGCTCACCCTCGGATGAAACATCTCCATAACGATTCTTGACCAAGTTGAATCCTTCTTCTACAGGTTCCTTCTTGATCAAAACAGTGGGTATGATTTCCGATTTGATGACACTTTTGGCGACCTCATCGTCATCGGATACATCGCTTGTCACCAGCGCCGAAGGGGGTTGAACCTTCGTTTCCACTTTTATGTCTACTTTACGGACTTCTTCCTGGGTGTCTTCTTCGCTCTTCATTTCCTGTTTGATACTGACGTGATCCATCTTCATTTCGGGAACGAGGGGTTTTTTCTCACAATTCGGAGTGGCTGGTGTTTCTCTAATGATCCCAAGATCATCCTCTGAATCGGTTTCCGATTGCATTTTGGCTGAGTGTGAGTTCTTTCGTGACATATGTTTCTCGCTGGAACTCCGACGAGGTGTACGGGGTACCCGTTTAGCTGAACGATCATCATCAGAGCTCTCGTCGTCACATAGATCATTCAATCGATCGCGATTAGAACGCCTTCGGTTGTTCTCCTCATCCGAGTCAGTAGCTAGCGGTTCCTTCATATGACGTCGCATCCTAGGTGTCGTTGGTAAATGGTCATCATCATCTGATGTGGTCATTGTGCCACTCTTCTTGAGATGATCTTTGTGGTTATATTTACTATTTATAGTCGTATCCGAGTTCATGCCATCCGTATCGGAATCCTCGTCCCAGCTCTTGGATCGATTTTTACCCTCCCGTTTTTCTCGACTCTGTTTCAGCTTGTTGAACTTGGCTTTGATTTTTTTCTCCTCCTCTTGCCTTTGCATATTCTTACAGGACCGCGCTTTCACTTTGTCGTACATTGAAATGTTGGGCCCGTCGTCGGGGATGTCAAAGATTGAGTGCTTTTTGGGTTCATCGGAATCATCCGTATCTGAGCTGTTGGTTGTCTTTGGACGACTATTGTTAATCCGATTCTTCTTTTTCCTAACTTCCTCATCGCCAGACGATTCGGCCCGGCTAAGCTTTCTTTCGTACTTCTTGTAATCTGAACCATCTTCACTGTGAAATCGCCTACCGTAGTCCTTGGAACTTTTTCGTTCCTTTCTGTGCCGAATGCGAACGTGTTCGTCCTCGTCACTGGTGGACCGGTGATGATCGGTAAAACTTTCCATGGGGAAATTGACACTTTGAGTGTTTTCCTTATCCCTAGACGCTTCACGATCTTTCTTGGACTTGTGCTTTTCATGATAGCGATCTTTCTTTTTGTGGTGGTGACTCAGATGAACTGTATCTGTATCACCAGAAAACGAAATTTCCTTGCGCCGTTCTTCCAGTAGAAACTGTTGCTTCTCATCATGATTGTCATGCTTGCCTACACTGCAGAGGGCATTCGGATGCGATAGAGGTTTATCCGAAGACGTCGATGATCCCGAAGATGACTTGGATGATTTTTCATTCCGATTATGACTTTTGTGGTGCTTGTCTCTCTTGCCGTCCTTCCCAGAATCACGATGTTCAGCGATGCGATCACTATCGACGTTATTTTGCTTATGCTTTTTCAAAGTATTAGCTTCTTCGCTTGGAGAATCGTTGCTATCTGGAGAGCTGAGCCGACGCTTCGAAATATTTTGAGACGGCGAACTGCTGCATGACGAATTAACCGGTTCCAGTCGATCTTTACTGTGGTGATTCGTCAAGGCGTCACAAGTTTCAAATACTTCTTTCGGAGGTTGCACCAGTCTGGTTTCTTCTTTCTGCCACTTTTCACGTTCCACCTTTTCTCGTTCTTCACGCTCCTTTTGTAGCTGACGTTCTCTTTCCAGTTCTTGTTCACGTTGGATTTGTTGTTCGCGCTCCACTCGCTCTTTCCGATCAGTTTCTTCCTTCTCCTTCCGCCTTTGCTCTTCTAGCTCAAGCTCCTTTTGCTCCTGAGCACGACGCATTTCTTCCTTTTCCTGTTGGATCCGCTCTTCGTCGAGCCTGCGTTCTGTTTCTTCTCGCTCTTGTCGTTCGCGCTCTTTACGGCTGAATGAACCACTTCTGGAGTTGACCGTGTTCACCGGTATCTCTCGTTTCAAACGATCAAATTCGTTTACATCGTCGGAACCGCTCTTGTAGTGACTCTTAGTCGACACCGAGCTACTCGAGCTACTGGCACTGTCACTGGAATGTCTGTGACTGTGGCCGTGGCTATGACTATGACCGTGATGGTTATTCGACTTGCTAGATTTGTTATGCTTTCCACTTGAGCTTCCACTGATCTGATGTGGCTGTTTTGGAGGTTGATCGTCATCTGCAAGCGATGCATCGCCAGTTTTTGGTTCCGGCGGTGGCGGAGGAGCATTCGAAGAGGTAGTTGGCGTGCTGGATCCCGTCGAACTTGTCGAGGAGGACGAAGCTGTAGACAGTTTCCGCCGATCCTTGTGGTGTTTGCTTCCAGAGCCATTGCTACTGCTAGACTTTTCCTCCTTCTCGTTGCCACTATTGGTACAACTGTTATCGACACCGTGGTTAGTGCTAGAACTATTGGAATGCTGATGTACTCCTTCTGTGGAAGTGTTCGTTGATAATGACGGTTTACTGTTGGACCTAACTGTACCGGAATTTGTACTACCAGGTGGAGCTGTCGTAATTGTAGTGTTCTTGCAATTGTTGGAAGTGGTTGCAGAGCCTGTTGAAGCTTCTGATGTGCTACTTTCCGTTGTGGAAACTACGGCAGTGTTTGACGTTACAACTGCCTCAGTTGACGATGACGACGACGAAGAAGAAGAAGAAGATATTGAGGATACTTTCGGTGTTGGTATGCTCGTTGTCGTTGCAGTGGTTGTAGTACTTGCTACCAACGTAGACGATTCATTCACGCTAGTATTACTGCTACCGCTAGTACTCGTTAGATTACTACTATTACTCGTTAAATTATTATTGTTGTTACTACTAATATTTGTACTTGATTTTTCCGTTAAACTAATACTTTTATTTAAAATATTGGTCTTTGGTTTATTTGCTAGGGTAGCCGAACTGCTGTAGCTCATAGTTGATACCGTTGAGCTAGTTGACGCCGTACTGGACAAACTGCTTGGCGCTGCACAGGTGCTTGGAGTGGATGGTGCTGTTGTGCTATGAACAGGAGAGGAGGAAGCTGAAGCGGAAAGCGAACTGTTGCTAGCACTGGTAGAGGAGGTTGATATCGTTCCGGTGTTGGTACTGCCGGCAATAGAAGTGACCGTACTGGTAGTAGGAGGCGTCACAGACGCTGTCAGGGATGTTGAACTAGGAACAGCTACCGATGGCATTGACGGTGGATGACTTGGGAACGGATACTGCAGACCAGATTTAACAGACGGATTAGGGCTATTGTATGGCTGGGGACTGTTCATTGGAGAACCGGAGGCACTACAACTGCCAAGTCGTTGCAGGCTAGGAGCTGGTGGTGTTTGCGCTTTCAATGCATGCAACGGGGATTGCGATGCCAAGACCGTGTTAACCGGAGATGCAGCAGCCGAACTAGTTGTGCTAACGGCATTGAAATTCGCAGTGGTTTTTGTAAAACCCGAGAACATACCGGGTTCGTACTTGTCGCTTATGTTTTCCAGTCGTTTGAGATCTTCGTCGAAAATTGATTTTCGTGAAAGGACAGATTTCACTATGTCAGACGGAGGGACTTCATGCACGTCGAGTTCTAGAAGTTTATGCCGGAACGATGACGTCGACGAGGATGAAACGTTGGAGAGCGGCGATTGATTCAGACTGCCTCCGGTTGTACTGGTGTGGTTGTGATGGTACACATGATGGTTATGGTGCCGCTCGTTGAAGTGCAGCTCGGCTACAGCATTGTTGAACCGAGTTTGGCTATTGCCGGACCACTTTTCATACATTTCATCCAATCGATTGATTCGTTCTTCCAGAGACGGCGAGGTAGAGGGTCCACCCTCGGAATCACTCGAATGCGAACTTACCGAATGTGCTCGCAATGGACTGGCAGGTGCCTGGGTACCATGATCTAAACTGTTTGACGTACTGGCACTGGCCGGAGTGTTTCCTGTCGCGGAACTACTACTCGAACCTGTGTTCGGTGGTATCAGCAGGGATAGCTTAGTTGGATGCGTTGGCGGTGGACTCGACAGATTGTTGTTTAGTAGACTAGAATTAGACGAGAGTGAAGGACCACTTGTAGCACCACTGGGTGCAGCCGAATGCAATGAACTTAGAGCACTTTGCTGCTGCTGCGATGATGACGACGATGACGACGACGACGACGACGACGACGACGACGATAACGATGTGCCAGACACGTTAGAATATGGCGCTGACGAAGACGTCGTCGGCAACGACGATGTAGACTGATGTAGCGAAGAGCTTGGCAGAGCATTATTGGAGGATGAATGTGATGAAGTTACAGGTACCGACGAGGACATTGGATGTTGCTGATTCTGTAATCGGTACTGCTGCAGGAACTGTATCGCAAACCGTGGCAGAGGTAAACTTAGCGGTTCCTGATTGTACGTTCGACTCGTGGGTATTCGTCTGGGTTCACTTGGTGGAAGATTTTCAGGTCGTTCATCGCAGAGTGGTGTTCCGGGTCGTGATCCATCGGCACTTTCACCTCCGCTCGCTTCATGCGAATGTATCGAGTGCAGTTGATGACCCCGTCCACGAGATGAGTGATGGTGTTCGTTAGACGATACCGATGCCGACCCTGCGCTCGCAATGACAGTCATACTGTTGTCACTATTTAAAATCGTTTTCCGTCGTTTGTTCAACGAATGGGAATAGAGATGCCCGCTATCTAGGTGTGATTGTTGTAAACTGGAAGAACTATTACTGCTATTGCTACCATGTCTTTGATGCAACGATGCGCTGTCAGTGGACGGTCTTCTGCTATTATTGTTACTATGCATAGATGAAGGCGTTGATTGGCTTGATAACGATTTTGATTGCTGCAGGTTGCAGTCCGAGAGTCGCCGTACTTCAACGCACTTTCGGTGGTGCGAAGCCGTGGAAGAAGTGGAGAATCCGGGCTGCAGACCACCACTATCCGCACTGTTATGATGGTGGTGATGGTGGTGACTGTTGTAATGGTTACTATTATTACTACTGTTACTATTGTAATGATGATGTCCTCCGCTGCCTTCGCCACTGACGCCTCCTCGGCCGGACGATGATGACATCACTGGATCACACAAACCACTCGCCACTTCACCGCTTACCGCCGCTGACACCGCCAAGGTGGCCACAGAAGTAGAAGAATAATGGGGATGATGATGATCAGATGGGTCACTGCCAAGGTGAGCATCTGGATTGTATTTGATACGTTTCTTTGGACTTACTAACTCATCACCACTGGACGGGCATTCTTCTAATTGTTCTAAAATATGTACTCTTTCTTTTTGTAAATATCGTATATCACCTGCGAATTTTTCGGATAGTGGGAGGTGGAAGAAAAATGAAAATACGAAATAGCAGTTAAACATATTGACTCTTTATAAAGCTTTGGTACAACTTCTTGGTCCATGAGGCGACATAATTTGAAGGAATGTACCAAATCTAGTCAGGTTCGCAATACACCCGACTTCGATGCTACTTTTTGAATTGGTTGTCAAATGGTTTGCCAAAACTTGACAATGCACTCACTACACTAAGGAAACTGTCCCTACAATTTCCATAAGCTGCGTCATATGAACGTAAGAACATATGATCTAGACCCATTTTCATAAGAATCTTATGTTTTCATACTGTATCTATAGCATTTATACTTTGATACACTAAAAGGTTCACAGCAAAAAAAATCTGAATTTTACTTGTGATGTAAATATTGATACGTGTAAACTTATATTTCACGTTACGCAAACCAGCAACAAGGTTGCAAAGACTCATTTCAGCTAAAACAATGTTTTTCTAAATTATGAAATAATTAGATGCCATGATCAAATTTTGAATTGGTAGGATACAAGAAGAGGTTGCAAAGAATGTGTTTGACATATTAAACCTGTTTATTTCACTTCATGAGAGTCACAATCAGCGATTTTTCACAAACTCACTCACTCACTCACTCACTCACTCAGCGATCAGCGAATCGTTGATTGTGACTCATAGAAAGCAAAATTTACAGGTTTTATGTTTCCAACGCATACTTTGTAACCTCTTCTTGTAAGTTACAAGTAAAACATGTCATCATACCATCTTTTGGTTTTATTATTCCGAAAAAAAATATTTTAGCTGAAATGAGTCTTTGCAACCTTGACCAGCAACTTGCAAGAAATGCTGCAGACAATGATGGACGGTTGCATAAAATATTTGCAAAATTCTATGAAGTGTCTCAGAACTTTACACGATTTATAATGTAAACTTGTATGATATGTGACGCTCCATTTATATGCATTATAAAGAAACAGAAATTTACAATACTTTTTCGAACGGTGTTTAAGAAAACCATGTGAATTTCATAAATCCGTCGTATGATTTATACTGACCCAACTTATGACGAAGAATCATAAAACGGTATTAGGTCGGAAAGAAATCACAATAATAAAAAACAAGATGGCGGGTCCAGTTTTGGGACGCAGAACAAGGCTGCGTAAACCTGTAAATTAGTTTAAAATCAATTAAACACTTCATTCGAGCAGTTAAAATGACGTTTACTACCACTCAAACATCAGAATGAAACAATATTTTGAGATGTTTTGTTCTAGAGACCTTGAGAAAGATTACCAAAATTTGCCATTGTACCATACACTAACGATAGCATAGATGGTACGACCATACCACATAAAGTTGGGATGATATTCCGAATTGGTGGTTAGGCGCTTCTTATGGTTATTGTTTATGCGAGAAGGGAGTTGATAATTTCCTGTCACACGCAAGCTTGCAGCTGAAATTCAATTGCAATAAACTATTTGAAAAGAATGGGCTGCGACATTTTTCCTAATCTCTATCTCCGCCGTTCTCTTGAAATGTAGATATACACGACCGCCAGTGTGCTGGCTATTTTGTTTTGCTCTGGACGATGGTTTTGGAAAAAAATGTACATTTGCCACCACTGGTTGAGTGACTAAAAATCATACGATTGAAGAAAACAGAATCATATTTCGATCGTATGAAATTCAACATTAAATCTTGTCACAAAAAAATCATACGATAATGTTATGAAATTCTAACGAATTATACTCTCAGTATAGAAAGCATGGTAGGGATTTGGTGTACCAAGTCATCAAACTGTACCGGAACCGGTTTTTTGTTTGTTTTGAACTGAGATGAAAAGTTTTGCATGACAGGATACAAATTCATGCCATGGGAATATTAATTCCTCTTCTAGCGCTGTACATGGACCAAGAAAGAGATTGTTTGTGTGTAAGGGACTTACCTGGACTTTTCTCACTTCGCTTCCTACTAAGACCAACGGTCGGTTCCACATCGCCCAGCCGCGACTGTATCGACGAAGACAGACCGCTGGACGTTACGATTGGGGGCGGCGAATCTGACGTCGACGACGGTTGCAGCCGATCGTGAGCACTACTCCTCACGTGACTTGCACTATAGCCGTCGTGTTCATACGCGTCCTCATGCGAACTGGCAGCCGACCCTTGACTGTATTCATCATAATTGCGAAACCTCCGCTCGTTGCCACTGCCATGGGTATTCGCACCGTCCTGGTAGTAATCATCGTTCGTATACCGAACGATTCGAGATCGGGAACTAGAAGTGCCACCACCGCGGCTCGAAGAAACCGGCGAAGGATCGTGCCGAGGTGACACAGCTCCACTGTGACTCAGCGGATTACCGGGCCGACTGAAGGAGGTGGCTCTGCTTCGACCGGTACTTTCCACGTAACGATTACCGGTGAAACGGCCACTCGCACCCGATTCGAACCGCGGTGAACCGAATGTCGCACATGTTTGTTTGTCCAACTTGTCAAAAAATGCATCTTGGCATTCTCGCGAAGCGAAATCCACTTGCAACTTACGTCCACGAAGCGTCGTGCCACGCATTTCTTTCACCGCTGCTTGAGCACATTGAACTTGTTCGAAAAACACTAGCGCTAGCTTTCGTTCACGATCGATAGTCACTTGAGACACGGCGCCAATATGATCGAACTGTGCCCTAAGATAGCCTTCACCTACACCGTCCGCGATACCGTCAATCCATACACAATTCGTGGGCATCGATTTACCAAACCCGAGCTTGATTCGATTGCTGCCCAAATGTTCACCGTCCATTTTACGCATGGCTTTCACTACACTGATAATGTCCGAATATTGGCAAAACGCATACGCACTAACACCTTGCTTCTTGATATCGATCTCAATGATTTCACCGAAACAATCGAAATGTTTCCGCAGCTCACCGGCCGTGATGTCCTTTTCGAGGTTTCCGATGAACAGAGTTCGGGTGGACTTGGGATGGTATTCGTCCAGCTCCGCCTCGTACGGTCGGAACTCGTTATCGTCAACGTCGTATCCCTGATATGGTGCTACTTCAATCTTGCAACCGAAAAACAACTTATCGTGGGACACCTCCAGAGCCTTCTCAACATCTTCGGGCTTTTTGAAGCAAACTAACGCATAACGATCGGTACTCTGGCCGACGACCTTCACCCATGTCACTTTGCCGTGCTTCTTGTACTCGTGAAATAGGCCATCTTTCAGCGAAGTGTCGGAAGAACGTGCAGGTAAATTCCGAACGCAAATCGCCAGTGGCCGGTTGTCATCCGAGTGGCAATTTAGGCTACCGGCACCGGAACCACTGCTGCTGCTAGCACCCGAGCTGCCTCCACCATTATTGTTGCTATTATTGCTGCTCACTGCTACAGCGGACTGTAGACCTACACGCGCGGCTGAATCCCGGTCTAGTCGATCGGAACGTCCTTCTCGACAACTACCGAATAATGGGCCACTGTTAACCGAGCCTTGCGCTAGGATAGCTGGACTTCGTGTCGTCGAGCAGGTTTCGTTCGACTGACTGGTGGTTGTACTGTGGGTGGACGAGCAGGAACTGCTGTGCGATCGGGACCGAGACCTCGAGATCGATCGATCGCTTCTGCTATTGTGCGTGTGTAGTTGCGAGGAATGTCCGATGTGGTTATGCGGATGCCCACTCGGATGATGATGTTGAGGATGATGAGTCGATGAGATCGGAGACGTGTTTCGCGAGTGGTGCAAATGATGATGATAGTGCGACGACTGAGGCTGTGGTGACCCCGAGTCCGATGAGCGTGAACTTTGCTTCTTCTTTACGAGAAAGTTATCATAACTGTTGTTGTTGTTGTTGATGCTCGAACAGCTGCTACCACGCTCGGGACCTGATCCAGCGCTCGATGTCGCTATGGGATTGGTTGACGAGGAGGCCGTCGACGTCGACGGTTGGATGGGATGGTCCGGCTGCACGACAGCGCTGTAGACGTTACGTGTCGGAGTCAGCGGTGTCGCCGGTACTGGACCTGAGGCTTGCTGCTGCGAGATCGAAAGGTTATCGCCACTTCCGTTATTGCTGTTCTGGCCGCTGTTGTACCAGCTGCTGGACGATAATCGATGGTGACTGATTGGGTTCGATCTGCTATTGTGTTTCGGGAGATCGACGATATGTGAGAGTTGGTGTAGTTTTGGTGATGGTGTTGTTGTTGTTGTTGTTGTTGTTGTTGATAGTGAGATCATTAGAAAGGGAGAGAAAAGATAAAAGCTTTCATTAGTAATGCATTGTACTTCCGGCATTGGTGGTTGTATAAAGGCATGAACGAATGATTGATGAACGTGTTCTTTTGGGACGAAAATGTTTAATCATAAACTGATAATGAAAAGCAGCTTTTACGGACAACGTAAAACCGCGACGCGACAAATCAACCGATGAAAACAATATTGACAGAAAACAATTTCATGTGATAAACATAGAACGAATGTTGTTGTGCTGAGTTGTAAACATAACAGATCGCGCTCGCTATACGTACGAGTGCAAATCTCTGAATGGAAGACCAACGGGTTTCGGCGCTACCGAGTTGTCATACAACAGTAAATGAAAACATAACAAGTTACATAAAATCACAAACGTATACTTTGAGTTAGACAAACACTATTGTTATTATTGTAAATCGGGAAACGAATGAATGCAAGCAGCACGACAAAAGACTAAAACACTACGGTAAAGTATAATTCATCATGCAAGGCAGGCCAGTCAGTCTACCTAAGTTAGGCAATTCGATATGGCTTTTGAAACTAAAGAAATAAACTGTATTGATTAATTTTAAGACTTTCATAGCTAAGCTGGTGTCACCGAGTAGTTTAATTCAAATGTCGATATAGGCTTATTTTGTTAATTCATTATATTTATTATTGAAGCATTTATACTTTTGTAATATGGACACAAACAACAGTTTTCCAAAACTAAAGATGCAAAATCAATTGCATAAAAGAAATCAATCAGTATATTTTTGGGATTTTACCAGTTTTAAAACAAAAAAATGTTTAATTAATCAATCAGTTATATGTGATTTCAAGTTAAGAATAAGAATGTGTTTTTATTAAAGCCTTATAATTTAACATATTTTATATCGTAACTCTAAAAAAAACTGTTTGATCATGTTTGCACAGAACAATATATGGTCAGCGGTTAATTTTGGAACCAATTTGAGGTATACACTGATAAACTGGGAAAACAGCTTTAGTTAAGAAGTTAAACCATGTTATTGAAAAAGAAACTCCACACATTGAAGTTGTTATGAAAATAATTTATAATTCGTTCAGTGTTCAGTGTGAACAATCCATGCATGCATCTTAGGTTATTGGAAACGATACATACACATACAAGAGCACACATACACATACATTAATTAGGATCAAATAGATCATGCAAACCAGATAACAATCATCGAACGAAAAAAGATGAACACACATACAGTACAAAGTAACATAATTTTATAAAATCCGCAACTCAGCTCTAAAAATGAATCCTTCCTGGACTCTAATAGAAGAGACCGAATTCCAACTGAAATGCTTATCGTTTTGCAACAATCTCCCAGATTTTTTTTTATTTGCCAATTTACATCTGATGCACATGCACACAAAACTCACATTCATACATGAATTACGAATGAATCACATGCAAGTAGAGCACAAGCACAAAGTCAGAAAATGAGGGATTATACAGTGGAGCGGTAGACACACATTGGACACATTGGGGAGGGAACCAGAGTGCTTCACGTTTTGAAAATGATGGAAAAAATCGTATGGAAAGGTGCAATTTCCTTCTTCTTCTAGCTTCGCTTCTTTTTGCAGTACTGGCGCAGAACTCGTTTTAAACCTTCCTGAATTAATGATGTTCGCCTTTGCCGTCGCCGCCCGCCGGTTCCCGGAACATGTTTTTTTTTTCCAGAAATAAAATTTATGTGGGTCAATGCAAGCCCTACGATAGACACCACACGAACGGACAGCAGCCTCACCATAAACATATAGGCTGACTGTGCTGTGTGAGTGTTTGGAGCGCAAGAGATAAGAATGATTGAAGTGCACTGCAACAGCAGTGGAAATTGCAGTTGTTTCTCTGCTGCACTTCAATCGTTAAGTGTGGGATGTGGAATCCTATATTCCTTGGTTTCGTCAGTGGGTATCCAGTGGGCTTAAGCTTTTGTTTTTGGTTTTCCGAACAAATTTCGTCTCGAGTGTGTGTGAAAAGAGATTTTTATTTCCTTTAAGAGCTCTGAAAACAAACACAAAAATTATTAAACTTAAAAACTAATGAGTAAATTAGACTAATGCTAGTCGAGGACCATCCATAAACACAATTACTCGCCAAAAAATAAACGCTGTAGTTTGCACAAACTTAATGCTGCCGTCTATGCTTTTGGAGTGTAAGCATTCTTACATTCATGAGACGAATATGGCAGCAGTAGTATGGTAACTTAATGTATTATAAATGTGTGTGTGTGTATGTGTGTCTCTTTCCCATGTTTTCCAATCAGGTTCGTTACAGATAATCCTCTAGTTAAGGCATTTGAAGCATTCCGAAACATCTACATTAAAGCTTTCACATTACTGCTAATAAATACAATCTACACCAAAGAGAAAAGTATTACTAAGTTCTACTACATAAAAAAAATCTAGTACTTCTAATTGTGGCATAAGTTCAAGCACAGCATATTCTTTCGGAGGGATCTAAAAAGGTCAACTGTAAAAAAATAAAAAAATAAAAGAAAAATTATCCAAAATCTAGTGAAAAGATACTTCATTCAAAGATACTACCAACAAATAAACGTCTTCAAACTCAGAAAGTACTTCCATTCCTAGATTTTCTCTATTTGCTTTCATTAGCATCGGAACTAAAAGAGAGAACGGCATCGGGTCTGAAAACGAACAAAAGTATACTGGGAGACAGGAATCACGGGCCAAAAGATAGCGTTCGTTAGGGTGAAATCAAGAAACAACACACTCACCTTTCCACCATGTTCGTGTACGGCCCGTTGCGGTAGTGCTGGCGATCACGTTGACGACCGCGGGTACTGCCTACACCGTTGCCACCACCACCATCTATCAGATCCCTAGAATATCCACCTGTCGAGCCGGACACTCGTCGTCCATTGCCGCCGCTGATGCCGTGTTCGTCGCCACCATGCAAACGGTTGAAGCTTGCTGTTCTACTACTACTGCTGCCACTACTACTAGTACTATTGCCATTGCTACACTCGTAGAACGAGCCATGTTCATCGCTAAGCCCTAGCAGTTTACCACCAGAGGATTCGGATTTACTAATACTACCGTTGGGGCAATTACCGCTGCCACTGGCGGTCACCGTCGAAAGTCCCGTTCCCGACGACAACGGAAGGAAGCCTGCAGCTGCCGAAGGTGAACAAGAATACTGAATAATGTTGTTGCCAGGACTGTTTACCCTATTGCTACCGTTGTTGTTGTTGTTGTTGTTGTTATTGTTACCGCTGCTGTGTTTCGGCTTTGTAGTACTAGATGCACTATTACAATTACTATCACCAGGTGTCGTTGTACTACAATTGGCGCTGCCACTAACAGTCGATGGGGCCACGGTCGGGGGCATCGTCAGCAGCGAGGGTTCGTAGTATTCCGTGGTCAGTATACGATCGTCGAACTTGTGCTCGGCAGTATGCGCTTTCGACGCAGACTTAATGTCCATGAAAGCGATCGTTGCACAAACACCGATGACCAGCCCATTGCCGCCACCGCCGACACTAATGTTGCCCGATAAGCTAGGAGGAATGTTTTTATGACTAACACTATTGTTACTACTACTACTACTATTGATAGTGTTGCTGCTGAACTCGACTGCTGATCCTGCAGCAGCAGCAGCAGGTATCGCCGACGGCGTACCAGAAGCACAAGAAGAAGAAGCAGGAACAGAAGAGGACGAACATGAAGCAGAGGAGGACGCCGTTGCAGAGCCGTCAAATTCGCCTCCTGCGGATGATGATGGTCCAGAAGATAAGAGCAGCAGGTCAGCTCCGTCGTGGGTGCTGTTATCAACGAAAGGCAGCTGCTGTTGATGATCCTTGGACGCCGTTTCAATGCTACCGGTCCTTGCAGTAGCCGATGAGGGGGAGGTGGGATTGTACGCCTGAGAGGTGATAATTCTAACACTTTGAACTCTGCCATATCTGTCGGTGGAGAAAGAGGGAGAGAGAGATATAGAAAAATTTACTATTAGGATGGATTCGCCATTGATTAGTGGTAAATAAAATATTTGTAACTAAAGAAAAAACAGAGTCTTGAGAGCTACGAAAAAGGACGAGGTTTTCAACAGCAGGATAGAAGGGGATAAGAAGGCGGGCGGGCGTGTTTTTGATTTGGTTTATTAATGTTAAAGAAGGAACCAAGATTCAGATGCGCTGGGTTAGAAAATGTAACACTGAGCTCCTGTAACCGGTTGGATTAGTATCATCGTGGTTTGAAGCGGAAATCCTGTCAGTCTGATGAGTAGTAGCAGAAGCCTTAACCAAACAGATAATTAATAAAGAGTCGTTCATCTAGTCCGAACGGGGCATGCATTTATTTACACTAAATTGATATGCGATGGGACCGGAGAGTATACACACTTCATACACCAAACATTGATAACACTGTACAGCGTTCGTAGACGGACGGGATTCTGAGACACTTTGTACATGCCAGTCAAATCGAGTTGGACAATGCAAAAAGTCCAATGTGTACATTGATCGATTTCCTTCACCGACTTTCTCTGTCGTTAATATCTCGGCTCAAAACAAACGTTCCCTAGAGTATAATCCTAGTGTGTCGGATATCCTTTGTAACCCGAAAAAAAAATCGATAAATAGAATCGATCTTTTGAAATGTTCGGCGATATCATGACTTATAGCGAATTCGTTTATTATCGGGGTTGGAACCAGTTCCAACCCAGTGCGAAACCGAACTTTTTGTCAGTGCGAACCTTAACCTGAGCTGGGTTTTAAAAACAAACGATCAAGCTGACGTTTGTCAGAAAACAATCAGACCCAATCTTGATACCCGATCCAGGTTGGAACTGAATAATAAACGAATTCGATATTAGTTTCTATCGCCAGAAACAAAGATGACACATAAATATGTCTCACCGTGCTCACCGAACATTTAGTAGATCGGCTTATTGTTAACTGAAGCTATAGTGAGCCAGAAGACGATAGTGTTAAGATGTATTTTCCTTTCAGCTTCAATTATCGTAAGTTTAAAAGTATTCTAATACATGTATGTATATCTCGATAAAACGTTACTGTCACTTTCGACTTCCATCGCCAATATCAATTCCATTATACCAATCAACATTACCATGGGCGATTGCCTAACCTGTCCGATGGTGTTACCACTGAATTTAAGAATTTAAATTCCCGGTTTTTCCTGGTTGTCAAAAGAAAAAAAGAGTTTTCTCGGTTTAACAGAAGCAGCTAAATATGGTTAAATATCCCAAGTAACAATACATGTTCCATCGAGGTTTTACAGAATTCTCCAAGCCAAAATCATAGTCTACAAGAGTATGATAAAATCAGTTACATGAGACATTGATTTCTTGATTATTATTTCGGATAAATTTTGACCCTCAGGAACATAGGCGTAGCCAGAAGGGGGGGGGGGGGGGGCAACTGCCCCTCTAAACTCAGCAACACAAAGGCTTTCGGTGAAATGACATTCGGACAAATTTCCTTAGTAGTTTTTTGTCGCCCCTCCCTAGCTCGAATCCTGGCTAGTCCCTTGCTCAGGAATGCAGTCTGTTGTTGTGAGATCGGGAATTAAAAAGTGAATTGTAAGAAAAAACTTTGCCTTGAAAAATTCTGAGAAGAATCTCAACCGAGAGGATGCTGTGAGAATGCTCAGCTGAAATTCAAGAGAATTTCCTAAAACAAAATCTGATAATTCCTATACAACTATGTTTAGAATTCCATCTTCCAAATAGAGAAGGGCAAATTTCCAAAGGGTAACTTATTAAGATAATTATGGAGAGTAATCACAGACAATTTACAAGGATGTTATGGGTAAACATTTCAAGAGAAAGTCAGATAGAAGCAAAAGACTATTCAAGGGAATACTGAAAGCAACTTTGAAGACATTGTGAAATGATTCTTGAAAAAAAATATTCTAATATATCCTATGAAGAGTCATCTTCTAGAAATCATTAAATAATCTAGGCAATTCAAAACTTGTCAAGATTCAGGATTTTGTAGAACTTTTCAAATTCCAAGGTTTCTACAGTTGTTAAGATTTTATGCTTACATAAAAACTCGTCAAAAGGAAAATTCTAGGAAAGTTTTCATTATAAGTCTGATCGGTAAAGTTACTTCAGGACATTGAAAAAGTAATGAGGCTCTGAAGTGCCTGAGACTAAGAACTTTTTTATGTTAAGTTGTTGTACCTATGCACAAATAGTACAAATCAGTTTGAATGCACAGTTTGAGCAAAGTACATACAATAGAGAAAAATAAGTATACATAGTTAATTAATTCACAGAATTTTATCAAAATATATCAAAAATATTTTGAGATTGTAATTAAATTCCCGTAATTGTAATTAAACTTACATGATATGTGACGCTTCTTTTATGTGCATCATATTGAACAGAAATTTACACTACTTTTTCGAATTGTGTACTTAAAACCACAGAGGGCGCTAATATGGTATTTCTTTTCCAAATCATTAATGTTTGAAGAAGTTCTAGTTCATCAATTTCAGCTTTTTATTTTATTTTAATCAGTTATACATTTTTGGATATTTGTGACTTGACCTGGGAGCGTTTAGCGTTAGAGACATGGATAAAATGCCGATCCCATCCTCACCAATTTAAAATGAATATTGGATTTCAAGAACCGAAGCCCCTTCAAAGCTTATACATATTGAATTATATTTTATATTTTTATTACCCCAAATTTGATGTTTTTCATGTATTTATTCATCAAATCGAACTCAGCCGCCTCCAACATGGCCTTGCTTTATAGTTGCACTTTTGCCAACTAGGCTAAGGGAGGTCCCTTGGGCGTTTCATGTACTTCAACAGTTGTTAATTGAGTGTTTTCTAATGCTATGTTTCGATTAGGGAGCTATAATATTTTACCATATTTAAATAGATTGTTTTGAAACCATCTTATATGGGGAGAAGTTGACGATGTTATAGGTATAGGTTTAGAAGTTTCTAGAAAGAGTATCTAAAACCATAACCTTCTAGCTAGACAAGCTGTCAAATTAAAGCAATCTATTAGAAGCCAAATGACATACTATTCCGTAAGACTGGCAGTTGATCGGAGTGCTTATGGAAAGCATATCCCTAACTGTTTCACTTTATGATTCACCGATTGTTTGCACTTTCACTTCTGTTATGTGCAGCTTGTTGGTTCACGACGTTTAATAAGGATGTTATATATCTGTATAAATTCGTATGTTATGTTTTAGAAGCTGAAATCTCTTCGAGTGAATGAAACATTTATTGTTTGCAACATTATAGAGGTATAAAGGAACTACACTTGAAAAATCCGTTCAATATCAGGGCTTAAACGCATTGTCAGGACTCCAGAAGTGCTGGAACTAAAACGTGCGTGCCATAAGCCTTGCACTGGTGGAGCGTTTTATACGCTGCTACCCTGCTAACACCCATAAACACCACATTAAATTTATACGACGTCGTAGGAAATGTCCTACAACTTTTCCCGATCTAAAATCATCCTCCCATCATTCAATCAACGTGCTCGAAGGACGCTCGTTAGTGATTCCAATCCATTGAACAAGTATCAATCAACACTGGTTGAAATTCTAACTAGGTATCTCTCAGCAGAATCAGCGATTCAATACTACACCAATATATGCATAGGTACACCCATTTGGAAACGCTCACTAGCTAGCAGTGCTAGAGTGCTCGGATGGTGAAATCCAACCGAATTCGATGACGCAAGCTTCGATTTTTCGGCCGGATGGCACGTTTTGCTGCGGTTTTCGATTGTGAAAATTGGAAAGCGGTTTCTGCTATACAACGTACACGTACATTAATGGAGGTCTACGACGAACGACGACGTTCGCTCGGGCAGACGACTTCAAAAATAGTCTTCTTTGCGGACGCTGGCTGCCACCTCCACCCTCACGATCACCAGCACCATCATAGTCTCTTTCTACAATTTTCACGTCTCTGCTATTGGTTGCTGCACGGTGATGTGGTGCGTTTCAACGCGATATTGCGGTTCATCGCTATATGCTGCAGCTTACAGGCAGGACACACAATGCGCGAGCGGAGGAAAATCACCAAAACAAGGTGTACAACATCAATAGCAACAACCACAACAACACCGAACCGAACGGTGCGGATTACCTTCAACGAGTTTGTTTACCTATGATCTAGAAAATGTAACCCAACAACTACCATACGAGTATGATGACTGGCAGCGGTGGTTGATGGCGATTAAGGTGCAGCCATTCAAAACGTGCATAGGGGCCGTCAAAGCCGTCAAGTTTAAGTAGAATGGGCTGGAATGGCCGGTGTCTGTATGCAGGGGGGTTACAGTGCATGAGATTGTTATTTTGCAGATTAGGTATAACTGTGCACAGAAGGTGCTTTTTGGAGAGTTTTTATGTATTGTTCAGGTAATCAACTTCTGTGCTCTAGAACGGAATATCTTAAACTAATTTGGAAATTCTTATAAAACTCAAACGTTGAGAACTACTCTCAATTGAAGGGCCAAGTATATGAAAACAAAACATTAGAACAATCGAGTTGATTTAACCAAATGTATCTACCACAATATTTCAAGAATTCGAACGAACTGAAAAGTTAATCAAATCATTTCATGCTACGTTGCGTGTAACTGACGAATCTTTTTCTAACCAAGAACAAATCGATGGCACAACATCCAACAGATATTCATGTTCAAAAACCCCCCGAATTGAGGACATCGTGGTGAAGCGATCTCTACCTCCGCTAATGTTTCGTAAAATAAGAATGCGTTTAAAATTCAATATTAAATTAAAGCCTTTCCATCGGAGACGTGTCAATCAGATAAGCGTCCTCGTCGCAAATGCGCCTGGGCTTCGTGCATAACGCATGCTTTGCACCCGGGCTTGCATTAATGTGCCCCCAGTACAGTAGGTACGGTACGACTCTATAGGCGGAGTTCATCGTTCTCGAAAGTTG